GTGATGTAAATAAATCAAAGTTTTGTTGTCACTATCAGTTCCTAATTGTTCCTTCTTCCCCCTTTTTCTTACTAATTAGAATTTCTGAAACTGTTGCCCAAACCTTTAGAGTGGTAAATATCTGAAAGATTGGCTCTAAGATTACTGTGAATTAAAAAATAAAAATCCGACACACAACCTAAGTGATACAGAAAAATCCTCTATTAGATAGATTGTCTGAAGTCTTAAAAGACCACTGTTTTCTATCTTTTCCTTGCAGAAAAGATTTTTGTGTTCACTTAAGATCTTTCAGAACTAACTGAAGTGGGTTTTTCTTGCTAAACTTTTTCTTAGGTAGCCAGAGAGCTGCATATTTATTCACCATATTGATTTGATTTCATATGGGTTTTTTTTTCCTCTTAGCACTTAACATGCAGGGTAATGGTTTATGTGTAATAGACACTCTGTGATAAAACTTAATCCTTTTCTTTTAGGTGGTGACTCCCTAGTGACATTGGAGGATATTCTGCTTTTTGTAACAGGCTCCTATTACATACCATCTGTTGGTTTTGATCCTGAACCTACTCTTAAATTTTTGCATATAAGGTATCCCATTGGAAACAGACTTCTTAATTGCTTAGAACTTCCTATAACAAAGACATATCAACAGTTCAAAAATAAAATGGAGCTCACCATCAGAAACACACTAAGGGTTGAAAGGGAGTAAGTATTTTTGCTTTTAATGAATGTTGGAAATTTGAGTTTTCTGCAGGAACATCTGCTTTCAGTTCGCTACTGTATTTTTGGACAACATGCTTTTACTATTTTCTAACCTTCCCTCCAAAATTATGCTAAAAGTTGTAATGTTATGGAGATGAGAAAACAATTTTCAAATAAAAAAAGACTTTATCTCCTGAACAATTTTCCTTTTGAAGTTGACTTTGAGTCCTACATCTCTTGCAGAAGTAGCTTAAATGTCAGCTTTTGCTGCAGACAGGTATGAAATATTACCGCACTCTGTAACAGGTAAGTATGTGGATTGTATCGAATACTTAGGTAACTTATCTATCAAAAACAAACCAAGTACATTTTGAAGATAATTGCTGAAGAGCATTGTCTTGCATAAAACTGTGATGCAGTTTTTCAGTTCTTTGTATATTTTTTCAGTAATTGTTTTGTATTGATTAATTTACATTCCGATGGTTCATAAAAACCTAGGAAAATTAAAATACATGTAGTTTTATGGTCATCAAGGCTAGTGCATTGAAGGTCTGGAGAAATCAGGTAAAATAATATAGCATAAGAACAAAATTCAGTTCAACTTGTGTCTCTGTTTTTAAACAAAATTTTGGACATTTGCACATTTCTGCATTCTACTGTCATACATTAATTTTTAATTACTCATAGAGCTAAAATAGTAAAAAACCAGAAGGAAATATTGAATATGCAACGATGAGTGGTCTTTCAAAGTGAAATATAGAAGTTAGACTTAATGTTGTTGAGTATGAAAGAATAAAAGTTCGTTGCTCATTAAGGCATGTAAACTTGTCTTCCATTATTTTCATTTGACCATGCACTAAAACTCTTTGTTAAACTAAAGGCAGTCTCCTATCAAACTTGTCTTGGCCTGACACTTTTCTAGCTTTGATTCTAATTTCTTCCAGTTCAGTTGTAGACACAGTCTGAGCACTGTCTAAAATATATTTTAGTGCTGCAGTAATTTGTGCAAATGGCTGGGCTATTAAGCTGTAAAATATAAGTAGTGAAATTCCTATATAGCAACACTTTAATGTTGCTAATGCTAAAATTATGACATTAAAAGGACATTTAAATACATTCTTTTTAAATGTATGCTGCTCTCTGTTTTGAAATTATACTATTTCCTTCTGATAGTTTTGACCACCTGTGCTATATGTCCTTAACATAAGCTGTGCTATAGATGTAATATAGATACATATGTATCTGTCTGTGTCTATGTGTATGCACATTCTTCAAAGTACCGGAAAGTAATCATACATTTTTTTATTAATATAGTTTGGTTTGAATTGAAAATATAAGCAGGATTGCTTTACATTTGAATTCCTTGGAAGAAAGTACATCTACAGTAATTATAAATTAATAGGTGCTTCTGAAAAAATAATAGAAAGTCTAAGGAAATCATTGCAAGTCTTAGATAAGACATTTCTCATTACTAATGCCTAAAACAGTCTAATCTCATCAGTCTTGTCATAATAAATTTAAGAATATTAGAAATTAAGACAGGATTAACAGTGGTTTCCACTTGTTGGCCAAAAGCACATTCAAGTTTCCTTTAAAATAAACATACCATCTCTTGGAAAATGTAATTTGACTTGTTTCTATACTAAGCATTTTCTCAGCATCTTCTTTTCTCCAGTAATATTGTGTGTTTCTGATCTTTGCAAAATTTTTTACTCTCCTTCTGCCAATAAATTCTTTGTATTCTAAGCCTTCACAATGGTCTCTTACCATTATAGGAAGAGTGGTTGGATACAAATTTGTTTACATGATAAGGATTCATATTGTATGTTTGTATTTTTCAAATATAATGAGTTTCCTGCAGAAATAATGTTATACTTTAAAAATTAGTGCAGTATTTGTTTTTCTTGCCTAGCTAATGATAAATGTGTTCTGTAATGTTATTCTTCCATTTGAGAACTACAGATTTTACTAAAGTAGCAAGCAGATTATGAGTAATTTTCAAGGACAAGGACTTTTGGTACCTGCAGTGACAAGAGAAATTGTTCAGAACCTGGAACTTAATAAACAGCATTTTAAAAATTTCAGTGGAGAAAGAAATAATAAAACAATGGGAACATAAGTCTTCAAAACATACCTGAGATTATAAAAATAGAGTTCACATCTTTTACTGCTGAATACTTTTGAACTCGGCAATTGAAAGGCTTTTATATAAAGGTAGAACTAACCTATATGCCAGTTGTAAAAAATGTCAACTTTAAAACTATCTGCTATACAATGCTATATCCAAACACTGAATTTGTAAAGTGAGTAAAAACATAGCATGTAATATTGCTTGAAAGGGTTTTTCTTGCACAGATTTTGTTCCCATTGTGTAATACTGACATGTACCTGTTCAGGACAAGTTGTCTTTTCCTTTTCTGTTGCTTTGATCAGCTCTATCTAGACAGTCCAATATAATACTTCATATATTCAAGTTGTATTCCTGAATGCTGCTATGGAAAGGAATTTTCTCATATTTAGCATTTATTTGTATAGACCAGTCACAAATTTATTTGAACTGTTCATTAGAATTCCATTGAATAAGCTAACTTCCAAGCAGAATTGCCTGCCTTGTCTTGACAGTGTAAGAACAATTTATACAGCTGTAAGGACCCTAGATTTTTTATTGTTGTAACAGGTCACTGAAGTGCAATATTATGGGGTAGTTTTCATTTTACATAAACATAGCCTGAGGCACACCTGAAATTAGGCTGTTTACTTTCAGTATTTCTGTAACACAGGGAGAATAGTTGTGTATGCATCAGGTGCGTATTAAATATATTCTTATAGAAGCTGAATCTTTTATAAGATTTGTCAGCATCATGAAAGAACTTATTGCAGTCCTTTTTGTATTTGGCCAAAGAACTTCACCCCACAGTTTCTGCATCAAACGCTTAGTTTCAGTCTGGAATTGGCACATCAAATAATTTTTTATAATTTTCTACTAAACGGTAATATATTTCTATTAGTGGTCTTAGTATGGTCTCCTTAATGCAGATATAACAAAAAACACCATCAAGTATTTTACCTCTATGTTTGAAAAACCAAGGAATAAGAAATTTGTGACTTGCTTTTTTACCCATTCAGAGGATGCTTTTCAGAAAAAGCTGTTAGTTTTTTTAACTGAATGATGAGTGAAATATAGTCCAAAGGAGAAAAGATTTGTTCATACAAAAAGTCTAAACCATTGTATGCTGCACCTTTGATTATTTTCATTAAGATGTTATGTTGTCCTGGAATTTGAAAACATGAGAATTTTGAGAGTATTAGTTATTAATTCACACTCACATTCTGCAGATGCATTTTGAAAATAGTATCAAAAAAATTAGAATAAAAGCCTACAAACAATGCCTTTCAAGTATATTTTGAATCTATTTTATATGATAAAACATGTTTAAAGCCCAAACTTTACTGTTTCTTACCTAAGGGAATGCCTAATAGGAAAAAAGAAAAATTAAAATATGGTTTTGGGCCATCAAATCATATATATACAGAAAATAATTTTCAAAATGTTAATGTTTTTTAAAAAGCTACACTCTAGCCCTCTGTTTTTTGTATTACATAAGTAATGTTATTTTTAAAGTTATGGTATTTAGAATGTTATGCAATCCAATGTAATTTTGTAAATTTTTCTAGCACTAACTTGAACTCTGCAGGATCAGTGCCTAAACTGTTGCATCTTCAAGCAACGTTTTGTAGCATCAGTGTTGAAATAATCAGTAATTACGGGAAATACCGTGTATATGTCCAAAGTGCAATAAAAGGCTAACTACATAGCTTCCGTGTTTTTATTTTGTTGATTTATGTATTTTTAACTCTAGAAGTGTTATCACTATTTTCTGTAGTTTCATTTGTGTAGATTTACATAAAGGTGTACATGGCATGTTTATCCATTTTGTCCGGAGCTGAGCAAGGCGGCTCTTTCCCCGTGGGATTGCTGCAAGGGCAGAAAGGCAGGGGGCCTGTGGGCATGTGCGACGTGAGGCGAAGAGAAGCAAGCTTGTAACTATATTCCATTGTGGTTACTCACTAAAACTACATTATCTGTAGCTAGATCCTTGGTTTTGAAACATCAGTCTTTCCATTTAGTCATGAGGTGGTCAGTATCAAAGCTGTTCCAGTTATTCTTGAAACTTCATTCTGAGAGCGTACCCTCCACCGCACTCACTGGCAAAGCGGTGCGGAAGGCCGTCCCCGTGCTCCGGCGGGCACGGCGCAGGCCCGCGTTTTCAATCGTCACCGGGGTTCCGGGGGCCCGCCCCCGCCCGGGCTCGCCACGTGTCGCGCCGCTGCGCAGGCGGGGCGGGGCGGCCGGGCCGGCGGCGCGGGAAGATGGCGGCCGGGATCCGGGAGAAGCAGACAGGTGAGCGCCCGCCCGCGGTCCCTCCCGGCGCTCGGGCGGCAGCGGGGCCGGCCTCACGCCGCCGCGCCCGCCTCTGTCCCTGCGGGGCGCGCTGCGGGTGCCGCCGCGCCTCCGCCGGGAGCCCGCGCCCTCTCACCCGGCTTGAGTCTCCCGGCAACGGGGTGGCGGCCCTCTGCCGCCTTCTCCTCTCTGCGGCGGCGGGACTCCGGAGCCTCGGGCCGCAGCTCTCGCAGGGGCACCCCGGCCCCGCTTGGGCCCCAGGCCCCGGGGACGTGGCCGTAGGTGCCGCCGAGGTGTGGAAGGCGCCGCCGGGGCGGGACTCGGCGCGGCCCGGGCTGTGAGTGCTGCCTTCTGCCGCGGCCGTGGGAGCGCACCCTCCGTTTGGGGCTCTTTCTGCTCGTGGGAAGCATCGGCGGGAAATGGCGTTTAATGGTGCAAAAACAAAGCTGCTGTTGTCATGTTCATGTTAAGACGATACAGGGTGTACTATCCCTCAAGAAATTGGGAATACGTTAATAACAATTAAACTATGCATGAGGACTTCTGTGAGTAAAGGGTTTGTTAGTTTAGTCCCTTCTTAGACATTGCTGAGAGTCCTTAATTGATTTTTCTCTGCCTTGGTGCTGCTTCGTAAAGCCTTGGACATACTCCTAAAGCACAGGTAATGTCAGCTCCACAGTCTTCTACTTCCCTTTCTTGCTGAAGGTGTAATCAGTAGTTAAGCTATAATCACAACACTTTCTGCTTGACAGCTGCAGTATCTTTGATGGTATAGAGGATTCCGGATGCATTTAGTTAGCATGAAATGTTTCAAATCATCTGGCTAAAATCTCAGTCACAGTCTCTATGGACCTTAAATATTTTACTAGTTTGCTAATCTTTGGTACCAGTGTACTTTTTTGTAATCTCATTCTTCTGCCATCTACCATTGATAGTGCTATTTGATGTTCTTCTGAAGTCCTTTGGTTATCTTCTCTTTGCTATCTTTCCAATAAAGCCTATTTCCTTTGAGCTTGTATTCTGTACAGCTTTATTCTTTTGTATTCTGTTTCACAGTGTTCATGGAGTGGTTTGGGTTGAAAGGTACCTTGGAGATCATCTCATTCTAACTCCCTGCCTGCTATGGACAGCAACACCTTTCACTACATCAGGTTGCTTAAAGCCCTCTCCAGCCTGGCCTTGAACACTTCCAGGTATAGGGCATCCACAGCCTCTCTGTACAACCAGTTCCAGAGCCTCACAACCCTCATAGGGAAGAGTTTCTACTTTATATCTCATCTAAACCTACTGTCTCCATTTAAGGCCATTCCCCCTTGTCCTATCATTACATGCTGTTGTGAAAAGTCCCTCTCTAGGACTCTTGTAACTCCCTTTAGGTACTGGAAGCCACCATAAGGTCTCCCTGGAGCCTTCTCTTCTCCAGGCTGAACAAACCAAACTCTCTCAGCCTTTCCTCATAGGAGAGGTACTCCACTCCTCTGATGATCTTGACGTTCCTCCTCTGGAATTCAGTCTAACAGGTTCAAGTTCTTCTTATGTTGGGCCCAGATGTAGCCGTAGTACTCCAGGCGAGATCTCACCAGAGGAAAACAGAGGGGCCCCTCTCATCCTGCTGGCCACACTGCTTTGGATGCAGCCCAGAATACAAGTTGGCTTTCTGGGCTGCAGGTGCACATTGCCAGGTAATGTCAAGCTTCTCATGTACCAACACCCCCAAGTCCTCCTCAAGGTTGCTCTAAATCCGTTCTCTGTCCAGCCTGTATTTGTGCTTGGGAGTGCCCTGACCTAGGTGCAGGAGCTTGCACTTAGGCTTGCTGAACTTCCTGAGGTTTACACAGGCCCACCTCAAGCCTGTCAGGGTGCCTCTGGATGGCTTCCCTTCTCTCCAGCTTATTGAGGAGGACTTTCTTAATGGAAAGGGTTATACATTGGAATGAACTGCCCATGGAGGTGGTAGAGTCACCATCCCTGGAGATGTTCAGCTGGACATGGCACTTGGTGCTATGATCTGGTTGACAAAGTGGTGATCAATCAAAGTTTGGACTCACTGATCCTGGAGGTCTTTTCCAGCCTGAATGATTCTGTGATTTTGTGACTGTACACAGCTTGATGTCATTGGCAGACTTGCTGCAGGTGCATTCAGTCCCACTGTTCATGTCACCAATTGTTACTTGATTATTTCAGTCAGCCTTTACAACTGAATCCATGTTGTCTTCTGTTAAAGAGGTCTTTTCCAAGGAGCTAGATTCAACAACTAAAATGTACTCAGAAAAAGGTTTCTTATCATTTAGTTACGGTCTTACCATGTATGTGCACCATCTGTTGTGACCTTTATCCTGGTTCATAACCAGGATTGATTTCATAACAAAAGCATATCATTGTGCAAGCACAGTAAAAACCTGATCCTTGCCCCAGAGAACATTCAGCATTAATATAAATGAAATGACAAAATGAATTCAAAAAAGGAACTCGGACACTTGCTGAATGTTGACATGATTGTCACAGCACGTTACTAGTATGATTACTCTTTCTTAGCAGAGAGTTTATGCCAAGTTTTACTTTAAATTATAAACTCTGCAATGCAGCTGCTTCAGCTCTGATAGTACCAAAGCACATAACCATACAGCTTTATATAAAATTGATCATACGGCTAAAGATGTCACCAGCAGCAAGGGGCCAGAGAATCCAGGAGCAGCCTGTAATCAATTTTCAGAGCTGCTTCAGGGTGTTTAAAAAAGAAAAGGAAAAAGTATGAAGCAAGTGGAAGGCTGGAGTCCATCAAGACTCAGCACTCAGTGCTAGCTTGGATTTTCCCACATTTGTGTTTCACTTCTAGTAATGTCTTTTGAAAGGGCAGTACACAGGAGGAAGCAGGGCATCAGAAACAATGCCTGGCCATGGATAGATGATAATAGGACAGCCAGAGTTCACTGAGGTTGAGCTGTGCAGCATGTATCTTGAGAAAAGATAAGTGCTTCTGCTGCAACATTAGTGTTAGCAAAAATGTAAATAATAAAAAAGGTTGGATCTTTGCTAAATTGAGCTGGTCATATAATGGTGACACAGATAGACTGGGACAGCTAGGGCTGAGGTAGCGAGTGCTGCCTTTGCAGTACCTACAAATGCTTCCAGGCCTTAGTGTCACTTTGGAGTCAATCATTTAGTGAATCCTATTGGAAAACTCTTATCACATAAGAGAAAATGCATGCATGAAGTTATGTACGGTAAATCATGCCTGACCAACCTAATAGCCTTCAGTGATAAAATGACTGGGTTTGTAGGCAATGGGACAGTATTTAATTTACCTTGACTTCAGCAAAGCTTTTGACACCATGGTGTTGTATCCAAGTTAGGATGTCATGGACTAGATAGATGAACAACTAGCTACATTAAAAAAACTGGTTGGATGGTCAAGCTCAAAGGGTTTGTAATTAATCACACATAATTACCTAGAGGCTGGTAACAACCAGAGGACTGCATGAGTGTATTCTGTGACCTCTCCTGTTTGAAATGTCTATCAGTCACATGGAGGGCATTGTCAGAGTGTACTCTGATTAAGTGTGCAGGTGACAGCAAACTAGGGGAATCTCTTCTACTTGAGGGCAGAGCTGCTATTAGGAGGTGTCTAGATGAACAAGAGGAATGGGCCAGTGGAGATCTTATGAAATTTAATGATGACAAATTCCTGCCCTTGTAAAGGAAGAACCCCTTGCACATACAGGCAGTAATGTGGCGGGTTGCCAGACTGGAGAGCAGCTTTGTCAAAAAGACCCGCAGGGATCCCAGTGGACCATCAGCTGAAGGGAGTCAGCAGGGTGACCAAGGTGGTCAGAGGCCCTGGTGAGGCTGTAGCACTAAGGCTTGTTCCACTTGGAGTTTTCTGCACGTGGCTTCAGGGTGGACTCTACAGCAGCCCCCAAACACATATGGGCAGCAGTGAGAAGATGGAACCAGGACCCTTTGTAGTGGTGAATGGCAGTAGGGTGAAGCACAATTGGCATAAATTGTATAACATAAACAAGCTGTTCAAACTGGATGTAAGGAAAAGCTTTTTCTCCACAAGGACAGTCAGTGCCACAGGTCGCACAATGTGGCTGTGGCATCTCCATCCATGGAGAGCTGACTGGATAAAGCTCTGAGCAGCCTGGCCTAGCTTCAGAGCTGAGCCTCCTTAGGCAGGAAGTTGGACTGGAGGTCTTCCAAGGTCCTCTCCAGCCTGAGATATCTTGTGATACTGTAGATCCCAGGAACTGCACTATGTTCATTCAGCCAGAGTCAGAAGTTAATTGTTTCTACTGCTCTCCATTTATGAGCTAAGTGGTATCCATCACTCTAATTTCTTCCAAGTTTTTCCTCTGCAAAACTCTGTGATGATTTTGTTATGAGATTTAAGTGAACTGGCACTATAGCACAAATCATCGTTTTCTGCTAGTCAAAGATGGGAGAGCAGGACATACTGCATTGTTTAATCAGGTAAATAAGGATTCATTACATAACAAATTTATAAATTAGAGGTAGGTAAAACAATCTGCTTTGGTTTGTATGTGGAATGGAAAGTTAAATTAAAGTTCATTCATCTTCCAGAGAGTTTTCCTGCTAAGGAAAACAGGTATTTTTGTATCCCTTAAACCGGCAATTTCTTCATATGAGTTCTCAAAATCTTTCAAACTGTGTATTGATTTTGGTCAGGCATAAAGGTATTTTTTGTTTGGTGTGTATGGTGTTGTTCTTGTGGGGTACAGAAAGCAGACCAGGAAATAAAGCAAACTAGCTCCCACTGGATCGAATGCACCTTCAAGAAGATACAGGAATTATTTTTAAGGCAAACCATGTTACAATATAGCCTGTATAGCTAAGGAGAGTTAATATTTTAGAACTTGCTTCTTTGCCTTTTGCTGTGTACTTTGAGTCCATAAATTATAGCAGATGTGAGCCATTTGTCAGTCAAAGCTGCATAAAAATGATGAAAACATGATTTCTTGTATTTATATTTTGTGATGGTATTCCTTTCAAATTAAATGTATAATAAAATCCTGCTAAAGTCTTTAGTCGCTGTTGTTGAAGTGTAAAGAGAGTAAAGCATTCTTTGGCTTTATTTTCCAGTGGCTTTGAAACGTATGCTGAACTTCAATGTTCCTCCAGTTAAAAACAGCACAGGAGAACCAGTATGGAAGGTAAGAACTTTTGGAATGGTGTTCAGAAAAGTTCAGATTTGCAGGTTGTTTTAACTAAATCAAGTTCATCTTTCTTGTGTTATTTTTTGTAAATACACAGAAATGAGTATCAGAACTGCTGAAAAAATACGAGTCAGGAAAAAGCCCATTCAAATGGAAGAACTATTGATAGCTTGAAGAATCTGAGCTCAGGCTAGCTTTGTTACTTTTAAAATGTAACTTGTAGGTCATGAGGAGTTTTTGCTACTATGAAGCGTATATTCTCTCTCTTAATCTGTTGTCTTTTTCCACTAATTCCTAGTTTCTCTTCTGATTTTCCTCATTTTCTCCAAAATGCAGTCAGGAAAACTCTGCATATACAATAACAAACTTCAAACAGTAGACTTTTGTTTAACAATATACTTTTCAGGAGATGGAAAAGTATCACCGAGTTTCCCCTTGTTTTTTCTTTTATATTTATTTATTTGTAAGCACAAATGGAAGTCCATGACAAACTAATGGTTTATTATAAATTGGTAGATGTTTAGATGTTGAAGCACTTTTGAAGTTAGGGTAGTAGTTCCCTAAACCTGAATTCCTGTATCCACATTATTCTACAGTATCCACTTTTTACAGCACTTTATAAGATGATGTGTATCTGTTTCAGGTTCTCATTTATGACAGATTTGGCCAAGATATCATCTCACCTTTGCTTTCAGTGAAAGAGCTGAGGGATATGGGGATCACTTTGCATCTGTAAGTACTTTTAAAAAAATTGGGAATTCTTTTCTAAAAAGAACATTATTTAATATTCCCCAAAATAATTAAAAAATCAATGAAAAACCATTGAATAAATAACTGCTAGAATAAAAATTATACACTGACTTGTTCCTAAAATCACAGAATCAGGGAGTGGAGAGATCGTTCCAAACGCTATTCACTAGGATTTCTTGCTCAAAATAGGCCTTCTTCAAAAATAAAAATTATTCAATAGGTATTGCATTGGCATTTGTCTCTACAAATCCTTTTACAATCATATATGTTGAAATTATATTTGCACAGACTGTTTCATAGGATTGTGTATGTTCTTTGCTTATCTTTTTACACATAGATTTTACTTGTCTGCTGTCAAACATCTGAAATCTTCAGGTATTATTTTAAGAGATTTCTCATGTCTTTTTCCCCAGAGTACATTTACCTAGTCCATTGTCATTCCTTAGCTTTGGTAATAGTCATGAAGAAACTTTGAACGTACATGCATTTTTTTCCAAGTTTGTTAACTTTTGCTAAGTGAAGGCTAGAAATGGAAACAGTCCAACCTTACACATCAGCAGAAACATGAGAAAAACATGTAAGCAGCTTGTCTTCAAGAAGGAAAGGCAAGTTTAATAGAATTAAATATAGTGGTTTTTACCACATCAACTGTTCACATATGAACTTTGTGGATGCAGTATTTTAGTTTCCTCTGAATGGATAATCTGTTCTTGAACATTTGTAAAGCCTTTTCTCATCTTTGAATAAAATTTGAACACATCTGTTAATATATTCAGCCAAAAAATACACAAATGTGATTTCTTTTCTTGCTAAAACTCTAGCTAAATGTAGAAGGCTATTGGAGGACATTTAATTTGTCTGTAAAAATAAATAATTTAACTTTTAAATTTTATACATGTCAGAGAAAAAACACATTGGTGATGTCTTTTTTCTTCCTATCAGTCTTTTGCATTCAGATCGGGATGCTATTCCAGATGTTCCAGCTGTTTACTTTGTAATGCCAACAGAAGAAAATATTGACAGAATGTGCCAGGTAACTTGCATCTGTAATGTTTCAAAAGAGCTCACAAAACAAGGTGTCTGAAGTAATCCTGCACTCACCAGAATGTGAGTGTAACTACTAGCACATATTTGTGCTAAAAATATTACCCAAAATATTATTATTCAAAACTTCAATTTCCCAGCAAGTAGAAGGGTAAACATGTCTCATGTGTTTCAGAGAGAGTTTGAGGAGTGAAAAGACAAGACGCAGTGGGTACAAATATTCCATTTAACATTAGAAAAGGCTATTTTAATGAGGGTGGCCAAACACTGGAACAGATTGCCTGGAGAATTTGTGGAGTCTCCATCCTTGGGAGAGGTTCAGAACCTGACTGAACACTATCCTGAGCCACCTGCACCATTTGATACTGCTTTGAGTGGGAAGACTGGGCTAGGCTAACCTCAATTTTTCACATTTCTGGTAAGGAGATGGATGGAAGGTTGACAGCTTTGCCAAAGTAAGGAGAAGAGCAAGGAGTATTTTTGGTCAGCAGTAAGGTGTGGAATAGCAATTGTTGCCTTTCTGCTTAAGTGTCATTTCCTGGTTTTTTTGCAGTTTTGTGGTAAGTTGTTTATATCTGGATATGTAATCAAAACACCATGTGTAGAGTTGTATGAACAGACAGCTAAGCACTTCTGAAGGTTTAGTTTGATTGTCAGTAACTGTAACATTACATAGTATAAGTATGATTTCTTCTTTTAATTAGTCAGGAATGTATTAGTACTTATTCAGGAAAATTTTCCATTCTATTAGGATCTTCGAAACCAGCTTTATGAGTCTTACTATTTAAACTTCATTTCTGCCATTTCAAGAAGTAAATTGGAAGATATTGCGAATGCTGCTATAGGTGCTAATGCAGTTACTCAAGTGGCTAAGGTAAGAAAGTCCCCCAGTCCCTAATACTAGCACCATTAAAGGTGTCACTGCATTCTTATTTTCAGGCATACTGGGGAAAAAAACAGAACCTACAGTTATCCCAGTAACACAGCTTAGTACTGTACTTCAGCTTTAAAAAGTCAAAGTGTTGCAAGACTTTTGGGCTAAATGATAAGAGGGGAAATACAGTGGTTTCAGAGGATTCCTGATCACATCAGCTGAATAAGTGCTTTCAGTGTATAGATGTTTCTGTATTATCTCCAAAATAAACAAAAAGAGCAGTAGGAGTGCAGTTCTCATTAGAAATAATATTTCATAGGTACACACTTTTACTGAGTACTCTCCTGTACCTTTATGATTTAAAGGCATGTGTTAGGGATTTACTTTTATTTTTGTTGAATGGCTGTACCAAAACCTGTAAATTGCTAAGTAATACACTTAAATACATTCACTTTTTCTCACTCCAGTTAGTACTACTGGCATGAGGGAAAGAACCTGGTGTGAAATAAAATGAACACTACTAGTATTGTTTAAGCCTTAGGTCCTCAGCAGCAGGAAATTAGTATAGCACTGTAAACTAACTTTCTTAAATCTGTTTTTCAGTTGTGATGTCTCATTAATAGTTTATGCTATAGAGGAGTCTAATTTTTTTCCTCAATACACAGGTGTGTTACAGAATAATTAGAATTCTGAGCTGTAATGTCTTATTGTTCAGATATTGCCCTCTTTCCTCTATCCTACCTGAGAACTCAGTGCTGATTATGTTGTAGTCCTTCATGTTCATAAAAAGGGAACCTGTAATAATGAAATGTCCTCCATGTGTTTTTTCAGTGATACTTGGCTGCTAAAACTTTGTGCATAGAAACAGTTGAAATTGAACAGTCCTGGCACTTTACAGTACTCTAATATTTGGGATTAATCACTCAACCCTTTCACAGGCTTTTTAATTAATAAATTATATATTTATTTTTTAAATAGATACTTCTGTAAAATGTAGCAGTAAATCACATATAAGTTTTTTTATGCTTCACTCTGAATTATTCTGACCATTATTCCTTGCTTTCTAGGTGTTTGATCAATATCTTAATTTTATTACTTTAGAAGATGATATGTTTGTATTGTGTAACCAAAACAAAGAACTTGTTTCATACCGTGGTAAGTAGAATTTTTATAAAAATTATACAGGAATGTCTGAAGTTGAAATTTACTTTTGAAGTTGTAGCTAATAACCAGCAATTACTTCATTTTGCTTTGATCTGCTCACAATTCAGGATAATCTGTTAGATATGTAAAATCATGAAAGAAGCAGTTCTGAGATATTAATTTCAGCATCTTTTATTACATGGTGATTGTGGTACTGAAAAATAGATACATATTTTTAAATAACAAGTGTGGTATAGACATTTATGGATAATAACAATTTTTATAGAACAAATAATGATGGACAGATTACATATTGTTTTCATATGTAGATAGTCACTGTGGGTGGGAAAGGGCATTCTAGACGATAAGTAATACTGATTGCTTCTGCAAACATGTGAGCCAAGCATGTCAGCTTCTTCATAAAGTTTCAGAGTTGCAAGTGAAGTCAGCCTCCTGGAACTCTTTTTTTTTTCCTTGAGACTTCTGTTCAACTTGGTTTGGAACCTAGCAGGAAAAGCAAGTGGCTGCCTTAGGTCAGTGACCTTGGTGCTATGACAGCTCAAGTCAGCATACATACTAGTTGTCATAATTGCCCACGTGATTTTCCTTCCTCCAGTGTGCTGATTTTATGTACACCTCTGACTCATTCAGTGTGCTAAAAGTACAGAGAACTACCATTCCTGCCCCTTATTCTGGATGTTACAGGGTATGTTTTCTGGCTGCTTCTGCTGTCGTTTTTCCTCTTTTTTACATCAGAACCAGTAATTTCAGACCTGCAGGGTCTGAAATTTAATTGACTAATTCTTTAGAAAATACCAACTCACTTGTGTGATATACAAATGCAATGAAAGGGAAGAAGCAGAAGTCAAGATAGTCCTATTTTTGCAGCAGCTCCTCATTGCTTTAGTGTAGTCACAAAGTCACACAGCTAATTCTTGGTGCCTAGAACACTCCCTAGTGACCAGACAGAAATGAGAAGTCTCTGCATGTCTAATATTTAGCAGTGAAAATTTTCTCCTTTCTTTTCCAATATCTGATGTCAGTACCTTCCTTTAAAATTGGATCCATAATAACTGAGTTGTAGCTCACACTGGGGATTGATTCCATTGGCAGAATGAAGGGGATTTTTGTTTGAAAGGCAGATTTAATTTTTTTCACTAAAACCTGATGTTGAAGAGTTTTAATAGTAATTGTTTTGTGATGTGTTCCTGTGTATATAAAGATACTTAATTGTCTGTCATAATATTCCTTATGCTAACAAGGAATTTGAATTAAAATAACTGAAAATGTTTTACACCCATCAGTTTCTATCTGGCTTGTTTTCCTGTCTTGGGCTGCTGAAATTTGCCAGCATGTTTAAACCAGTGTAGAAGTGGTCTGTTTCCAAAAGCTCATGGAACAGAAATCTGATCTCCCACGGGGAGTGATGCATTTTCCATTAGAGCTTGGTAGCTGATCTGTCTCCTTGTGTGAGTTCTAGATCTGACACAGACAGGCAGTAGGAGTGCAGAGGTGAAGAAGAAGTGAGCTTTTTTTGCCTGTGGAGAGTAACCCTGGCAGGAGACTGCCATTTTCATAATCTACAAAAGTCAGTGTAAACCTGAGGGTACTTAAAGATAGCTGCTATTCTTGCAGCAGCCCTGCTGTGTGTGACCACAAATATATCTGAATAGGTGAACTAAGAACAAATATCACAAAACAGGTTGCTTTTCAGTTTCCTGATTCCTTGGCTGTGTGATTGCTTTTACAGAGAGGCAATGTAAGGACAAATAAGCAATATAAAATCCTTCAATTATGTGAAAGACTTTCCTAGACAAAGGACGCAATACATTCTCTCATACATAATGGACAAGAAGTGATGAGTTTAAATGCAACAAGAAGGTTTCTGATCAGATATTAGGAGCACTTTCTAACTTTAAAAATAGTGAAATATTAGATTTCCTGTAAATATTTTGGTGTTTTTATGACTGGGAAGCTCTTTGAATTGATTTAGATACAGAAATTACATGGGTTTAACTCATCATCAGAAAGGAGGATCAACTAGTTAATCCCTCAGGCTCCCTCTGATTCTAATTTTCTAAGACAATGTATAAAAAAGAGTAAATGAGTAATATTGGCATAAAGTTGATATTTGAGACATCCTGTTTCATGTTGAGTGCTTCTTTACCATTCCTTACTATTTGGTTGAATTTTGTAATACAACAGGAAAATGCAGGATATCTATGCTTCCTTTTCTGTAATAGCTGCATTTCCCATAAGCTTGTTAGAGTGGAGAGAGAGAAACTTATGGAAAACACAGTAAAACATTTTACCAAAAGATTCTTAATGAAGTTTCTCAAACGTTGATCTAAGGAGCAGGAATATTATGTATCTGTGTTAGTTGCTATGGTACAAGAAGAGGAATGTGTTCATAAAATGTGCATGGTAGAAAAATTAGAAGGCACTGACAGTGTGCAGATCACTGGAATGTCAGAAATGAGTACTTTAAACATATTAACAGGATGGGAAATAAATTTTAAAATCGGAGAAGGCAAGAGAGTAAAAATGAGGTTATTTCCCCCCTGTAAGCTGGGAGATGATTAGTTGGAGATAACTACAGAATGATAGCCCCAGTGAATTTCTTCAAAGCTTTGTCATTATAGAAAAATACAGATATTGGGAATGGTCTGCCTTTCTTGGTGCTGATATTTCAGAAACTTGAAACTTCTAATGCTGCTGTCAGCCGAGTCAAAACTTTAGCTTACTAAGTGTAGTTGCTAAAATATAATCCGTGTCTCTAAATTTATTACAGGAGAAAAGCTGGGGGAAAAAATCATCTTTAGAGAATGGTTGTGGCTGCCCATGCATAAGTTTAGGATGGAAGGGTTATTAATGTTTAGAGCTTTGAAATTTATTTTTCAGGAAAGAGGATAAGACAATGAGGTAATTATGTGAGAAATTTTTAAAGTAAACAAGGATAGGATTTATGGCATGAATCCTGAGGTAGTGTTTGACTTGAGATCTGTGATAAGATTTGGTTTGATATTTCCTGTTGGCTATTATATTATTGTCACAGTTAGTTACTTATGAGAAATGTTGCTGCATGTCTTCTGCATGCTGACCTAAATGTGTGAAGGAAAGCTCTCTTATCTGTCAAGTAAAATACTTTGTAACTTGGGAATTACCCCTAATTTAGAGACTGATGGTAAATTTATGAGGAAAAAAGAAGTCTCTATACAAGAGGTAGGATTTAGAAATTTTAAATATAGACAACTGCATACTATAATTAATTATTTTATACTGGTAATTCTTGAGAATTTTCTTCCTGAAAAATGTTAGCCAAGTGGATGGCCATTTCTCTTTTATAACATGTTTCTTAGTAGGTTTTTGTTTATGCAGTACTAACAATCCAAAAGATACCTGTGCAGTGAGAACGATTTGGAAATTATTGTATAGTGTTTGACCTTATACAGTAAGCAATAATAAGTTCTGCCAGTTTTTTTCTCAGAAAAAAAGGGGGTGGAAACTAACAGGTGTTCTGAGAGGAGCATTCCAGGATGTAATCTCTTCTGCAAGAGAAGCTGTTGACTACTAACAGCCGTCAGATAAGAAGAGGATTGCTCTCTCTCTATTAAAATGGCATAAACTTATTTAACCCTATTCTTTTTTCCACACTGTTTTAGCTATTAACCGACCAGATATAACAGACACTGAAATGGAAACAATAATGGACACTATTGTTGATAGTCTCTTCTGTTTTTTTGTTACACTTGGTAAGTTTCCAAATTCTAGCATTTTCCATAATCAGTGAGATAACTAGAAGTCTAGTGATTTCATGTAGAAAATTAGAAGCAGAATTAGATCTGTGACCAAAATCTCAATAATTCACAGGGTGGGATAATGATCTTGCTCAAATTAATGATTTATATCACTGCAAAGTACGATAAAGGTTTGCCTTCATGGGAATTGAGTCTTAGTCTCATTACCAGTGGGAGGAGAATACTGAAATGCAAAGGTTTGCATTCACTGTTTTTAAAATAGCCTAGTTTGCAATGAAGATAATAGTGCTTTGAGTTTGGATTGGTTATTCTCAAAAAAAAAAAATCAACCACCTAAACACCACAGAATTAGAAGAAAAAAAGTCTTCACACAAACCCTGCAAAGATCTAACTGAAATAACTTCCTAAAGGAATAGGAAGATATATTAAGTTTACTTATTTTATTGTGAGTTTCCTTGATGCTTAGCTGATACATTTTTCATAGTGATGACATTTAACTTAAGTTGTAACTCAAATTGGTCCATTTGAGATAGCTTTCCTACAAGGGGAGCTGGGGATTGCTATAGGGCAGTCTGTTCAAGAGAGATTTCGTTGGACATATTCAGTTCTTTCAAGTGTTAGTGTGGAACAAATTAATGTATTTTCCTCAATCACTTAAAATCTGTGGGTTTGGAATTTTCATATTTGTATAGATAAGTGAGAAACAGTAGGTAAATATTTTGAACCTGAAAGCCAATGGAAAACATGCTGTTGAAAATAGCATTACCATAGATACACAGCCCTGGACATAGCACTGAGTTATAACAGATATATTGTGGTGTTATAATATTTATTATTGTGTTCAATGGACTTCTGCCCTTTTGAAAATAACTTCCAATGCATCTGTATGAGATAGTTTGTCCCCTCCAACAGTGGAGGAGCTTTCTTTCTAGTATATATTCTATTTCTCATAAATTGTTGTATGGAGTATTCACTTCGGTAAAACTTTATTTAATATTTCTATATAGTCTTTTTTGTTTCATAGCTAAAGATTGAAAGAGAAAAGTTTAATGTAAGTTTATATTGAATCTCAGAATGTTAGTTAAGTTGTTTATAAAAAGTAATATACTAAAGAATCTGAAAATGACAATGCACATAGAAGTCAATGTATCTTTTATTAGGGGCTATACCTATAATCAGATGCTCAAGAGGAACTGCAGCTGAAATGGTGGCAGTGGTAAGAACTGTTTTTCTAAATACCTATCATTGCTTTACAACTTTCCAAACATCACTTTCACTTTTCTCAGTACTAGACAGAGATCTAGTCATTGTATCCTTTTCCTTATGAAGGAAATAAAACTGGGAAAGACATACATCCACTTTCCTTTCAGATTTCAGTTCCACAGAACCTCTGTAGAAACTGTAATGTTAAGGAATCAGATAATGAGAAACTTAAATATAAATAATTATTCCTAATCTAGATTTTATCAAGATTTTCTAAGAGGCATTATAATTAAGTTGCATCTACCCAGTTTAAAAAGTGGCTGTTGGGCCTGTGTTCCTCTGTGTTTATCAGTAAGATTTTTTTTTTTTTTTCTTACTGGGAAACCTTGTAAGTACAACACATTTTTAGTATAGCAAATTAAACTGACATGGATCATAAAATAGGGATGAAGTGACCAAACTAAATCACAATTAATAATCTCTACAGAACTCTCCTCATTAAGAGTCACTGTGGTTCATATCTTCCATCTTCTTCGCATTTTCTTTGTCAGTGAAATGGTGATACTGATTAAGCCTAAGCATGCAGTGTGCATCCACTCATATTGAGGATAATCTCACTTTTATGAAACAATTGTGTAGCAGTGTCTGCCAGCCCAATTTGTTGCTTCTACTGTAGTTCCCTCTTGATGCTTCCTTCTGGTATTTTCTACTTGCATGTGTAGGGAATGGGTGCTAATTATCTGGGAGGAGATTAGTAGACATAAAGGAAACATCTTCAGTATAGTCCTGAACATAGATATAAATGCTGGAGGGACAAAATAGATGCAAGATTTCTTTATTTCCTATATGCACTGAACCTAGTCTTCCTTCATTTAAGACATCTATAAGCTACAAAAACAATAATTTTTTTCATGTTGATCATGTAAAGAGGTTAGGAAACCATTAGTTTGTTAAAAGTGATTTTGTTTTTCCCATCCTCAGAAACTGGATAAGAAGCTCAGAGAGAATCTAAGAGATGCCAGAAACAGTCTCTTTACAGGTGACACACTTGGAGCTGGACAGTTCAGGTATTGTGTTAATAATTTTATTTTTAGTATTTCAGTTGTCTGGGTAAGTTACCACTGTACTGAAAACTGTGTTTACAAAAATTTGGTTCAAATTCTATATTAAAAGAATTTACATACTTTCAAGGGAGTTTTCCAATTCCACAGCATAACCCATTTAAAAACTTTCATAACTATTAAGTGCATGGTCCTAGGACAGTAAGTCAGAAATTATGTTATGAGCCAGTTAATCTTGTTCAGCCTCTAAACCCAGCAAGAGACAAATTTCTGCAAATACACTTCCGTTTACAGGACTATTAAATGCAGTTGGATGTCTGAACATAGCTCTGAGCAACCTTTAGTCCTTTAGAAGAAAGAAAAGCCCATTTTCTTGCTTGTGAATGCTATTACCAGTTTAGTTATATCAAAAGCAAGTGTTTCCCAGCTGATCCCTATCTTGATCAGAGGATACTGCTTGAGGACAACCACCTGGACAATTAAGGTCTGTTAAGTCATGACCATTTGAATCCTTTGTGGATGCTTGTGAGCATCTGAGGATGTGTTCTCAGTAGCATCCCTGTATACTGTTGCCTCCAGATAGCTGAATACTCCACAGGCTGCCATAGGAAGGTATGTTATGAGAGCTTGTACTGTACATGAAAAGGAGGAGCTGTATTGGCAAGACCATAGCTGAAGGAAACTTACATTCTGCTAACTGAGTATAAAACAGTCATCATACGTCTATCTCAAATTAAGATCGGAGCTTGGATAAAAGGCATAAAAATATCAGTTGGCAAAATGAAAGAATATTTGTGAAATAGCAGTTTATTCATTTTCATGGGAACTGAATTGTAAGCACTGCTTTTCCTTCTGAGGCATGGCTTTTTTTCATGATAGTGTAACATCATTGCCCTCAAAATTAAAGTGCAAGGTAAAGGAAACATAGGAAACTTTAACCAGTTGAATGATTTGAGATCTTTAGTTTAGTTTTTCAGAATCAGGTGACTAAGGCTCTTGACCTTATATATTTAAGTGAATATACTTACTGCAAGGAAATCCAGAGCATGGAATTTAAATGCTTTTTCTCTGTTCAAATGCACTTCAACTGCATTTTTGTAGGGATAATGTGCTTTAGAGAAATGGTTGTTATAATGTTCTGTCAGCTCACAATCTTCCTGTCTTCACTATAAATTTTCCATGTAGCCATAGCCCAAGACCTTTAGGCATGACTGCATTTTTTACCACAAAATTGGGTACCAATGGAATTACCACAGTAACTCCGGAGTCTTTCAGAAGTTCATAGTTTATTTTTGTATGGACTTTATATAAAAGCAAAGAGAAAAATTAAATCAGAAACCCTTGGAAGTGATATTTTCTATTTGAGGAATGTAAATGGGGATTAAGGTCAAATACTCTCCTCTGGAACAGTTTTTTGGAACTCAAATGTGTATCCACACAAAGATGTATTAGTTAATACTTGAAAAGTTAGTTGCTATTCAGTGTTTTGACTTCTGCTCAATATTTATATATTGGTAATTTCACTTGGTATAGAATAATATTTTTATCATTACTAGGCTTTGATTCATTGAACTTATAGTGATCAGCCTCGGTTATCAGGAAGGCTGGATGAGCTCAGCAGGAGGCAGTTTTGCTTTTATCTTGAAATAGATAAGGTGGCTGTTACCACTCAGGATGTTACTGCGGTGCTTTAACCATGTTTAAAGAAGTACTAACACAGTATCATCTTTTCAGCTTCCAAAGGCCCTTATTAGTCCTTGTTGACAGAAACATAGATTTAGCAACACCTCTACATCATACTTGGACATACCAAGCTTTAGTGCATGATGTTCTGGTAAGGATAAATCTGATTTTGTTACCAAAACTATTTTTTACTCAGTCTGTTGTTAAAACTTATTATCAGATTCTCTCTTAATCCAAAATCTGTTTTGTCTGTTTTATTTGGAAGTTGTTTTAATAAAGAACAACTTGGAAGATTTTCTCTTGAAGTTTATTTAGCAATAATTTCTAAAATATTTTAAATGTTGAAATCTTGGTATTATCAGAAGATCGCTAATTCACCAATCCTGGCTTTTTTTCCCCAGTAGCCCATGATCTGTATGTTATGTAATATCCAGACTCCATTAAGTGCAATTCAGTTTTGAAAAATAAATGCTTTTTATGTGTTTTTAAACCAGTTTTGGTTTTAGTTTGAACTTCTAAAAATACTTTTTCCTGTTTTTCTCCACAAGGTGGTGTAGGTGTTCAGTGCAGAGTGGTATACAGTCCTACTGTAAGGAATCTAAACTAGACTTTTTTTTTTTTTTTTAATTTAGATAACCTTAAGCTGCCTTTATTACCTCAAGTTTATTTTATAAAACTAATAGTAGAAATGTACTTGATTGATAGCTCATTCTGTTTACCTCAGATTTGTAGATTTGGTGTATAAATGTGGAGTAAATAATTTAAATAAAAGGAGTAAGAGTAATAGTTATCCGGAGGTTTTTTTATGTGCTGAGAGTTATTTGTGGAAATAATTTCAATATCTAGCTTTGAGAATTATTTTGGATTTATTTATTGAGACTGTTAGAGACATACATGAAATATGCACATGCACATATGTGTTGATATACAAAGTTGGTGGTGGACTGTATAGCCATCCATAGTGCCCAGAAACTTGCGTTGCTACGATGAAAATATTTCAGCACTAATATAATGTTTTACAGCACTTGTACATTTTATTTTATGTAATTAATTCATTATCACAAGTCCTCTCCTCTTAAACTGAAGGGTGCTTTCTGCAAATAACAATTTTTGGCATAGTTTCTTTACGAAAAGGGTACCTGAAAAAAACCAGTTTGCACCAAGTTTTCTCCAGTAACTGTTGAACAGGCTAGAGATTTGCAGGTAGAAGTAGTGAATTTCTACAGGTTTCTTTTTAAAGTAGTGTTGGGTGGCCTCAAGCATGAGTTGAGATAGGACTTCAGTTCATCAAGATACAGAGTGATCAAAGATGTACTGGAAGCTGAGTACAGCTAGTGCTACAAATCTAGTGGGGTATTGGAATAACACTGGAAGACTTACTCAAAGATACTGGATCTCTACTGCATCAGGCTTCTGTAGTTTCTCTGGACCAACCTGTTAAATGTTGCATCTTAAAAGTACACAGATCAGGAGTTTTCATAGTGAAATTGGAACCAAGTGGTCTGTGGTTCCTCAACAAGGGCAAATGTTTAATTTCAGAACTAGTCAAGTTATTCACCTTAAAGGCAAGCTTGCCAAACTCTCTTCACATACTGAGTGTAATATTTCATTAAATAATTGCAGTAGTATTTTAAGAGACCATAAATTGTAACCATGAAATTGTTTGAAAGAATAGTTTACATTATCAACATCTTGGTAACAAACTGGGTTTTGTTTAAGTTCTCAGTTACAATATTCCAGAAATGCTGTGCAGTGTTGAACTACCCAGGCACAAAGTTGAGTGCTACATCTGTTGAGATTATAACCATGCTGTTTCTACACATAAACATGCTTACATGAGGAGATTTCTATTTATGAATAAAAAGCCTTTCATCAGTGGATACAGAAAAATGGGAGGTAAGGTTAGAAAGCCTTATAGGACAAAATGGGGAGTTGAAAGGAAGAGCACTAATCAAGAAGAATTATTTCAGGAAAACCTGTAAATGCCAAAACTAACTTCAAAACACGGGTCACTAGTGAGTTAAAATGATCCAAAATATAGATCTCCATTAAAAATTACAGCTAAATATGCAATCAGATTAATTTTTCTTCTATTCAAGTTTTTATGAAATATGTGTACTTGACATATACTGGTTTTTTTTGCTGAAATATTAAACACCTCTTGTAAGATGAGGTTTGTGCTCATCAACTGCATGTGTTTCCTTTGAGTAGCTACTTGGTTATGTTTCTGTTTTGGCATGGATCATTTGTAGTATTTAAGTCCCTGCCAAGGGTTAACTAGAAACATTTAAAAACTTTATTTGACAGTTTCACTCACAGTGATCCATTTCTGTATACTTTAATGAAAATAATAAAGTCATGTTTTATTTCTGGAAAAAATATCTATTCTAAAAGCTTCACAACAGTTTCTTTGTAGCTGAAGATTTCACTCTATCATTATTTGTCTAGCAAAAGAGCACCTTTGAAGTTTTAAATGTCCTTGAAAAGAGCTAGGACAAAGTCAGAAAGTGGAATACTTGTTAATACTCTTTGTTGAAAACCAGAGAGAATAGGTAAGCTGCAGAAAATACAGGGCAGTCTTCAGCAGTGGGGGAAAGAACGAGAAGACCCACAGGGAGTAGTGTGGTGATGCGAGCATAATTGTGTCCTCTAGCAAAGCAATGTACTTTCAATGTTCGTGCATCTGTGGAAGATGAAAAACTATATGGAAGAATAGCAGCTTTGTTGCAAAGTTTTGCTTTATCATGCATTCACTGTTTTACTAGTGCTCAAGAAATTCAGGAAAGAGCTTTGAAGGTGTGGCTAAATAGTTCTCATAGTGAATAATCCTGTTGCTGATGTCATCAGCTTCTTGGCAGCTTTGATACGTATGTTGTAGTTATGTAAGTAAACACACTTAGAAACACCCTTTGTCTGCAACATAGAAACTTTTCTACTTCAAAGTTTTGGGCAGTTCCTAGAGCACAGTCCTTGCTAAATAACTCATTTTCTGTGCAGAAAAGTGTTCAAAGTTAAGCGTCAGTAGAGTGCTTGCATATGAGATAATCAAATGTCTTTGCATAACATTCAGTGACTTGTTTACAGTTCAGTAACTGTGAGTAATTTTGGTGTCCTTATATTGCTGTTATTATCTGGTTAACTAGTTTCCTGTCTTCTTATGAAGTTCTAATAAATAGCTGTGTTAGTATTTATTTAGAAAATATTCTAGAAATTATTTTGTTGAGTATAAAAGACTGAATAAACAAACTGTCAAATATTTACATGAGATTCTTGTTTATTTTAGGATTTCCATTTGAATAGGGTTAACTTGGAAGAATCAGCAGGAACAGAAAGTACTCCAGCAGGCGCTAGACCTAAGAAAAAAAACAAGAAGTCCTATGATTTAACTATATCTGATAAATTCTGGCAAAAGCATAAGGGCAGGTAAGCCATAAAGGTATGCAGTTTATATTCATTTAGTCAGAATAAATTCTAAGTATTCTTCATGTATGGCAGTTCTGTTTTAAGCTTATTTGAAAATATTTTCTAGCATGGGTGCATTTTTTTTTAAGGTGTATTGGGTCTAGCTGTGATGAAGTTCATTTCCCCACAACAGTCCTCACAGTGCTGTGCTTTGCAGTGGCAGCTAGAAAGGTGTCGACAGCGCACCGGTGTTTTGGCTACTGCTGAGCAGTGCTCCCACAGCATCAGTGCTGTCTCCCCCACATTCCCCCTCACCAGCAGGCTAAGGGTGGGCAAGATCTTGGGAGGGGGCATAGCCAGGACAGCTCACCCAAACTGACCAAAGAGGTACTCCATACCTTTCCATACCATACCACTCCATTCCACTGTTCAGCAATAAAAGTTAAGAGAAGGGAGAAGAAGTATGCAGCATTCAGTGGATTTTTTAAAAATGTTTTTCTTCTGGAGCAACTGCTCTTTGTACTGAAGCCCTGCTTTCTGGGAAATGGCCAAACATCATCTGTTGGTGGGAAGTAGAGAATAAAACCTGTCATTTTCCTTTGCTTTCACACATAAGCTTTCCTTTTTTCAACTGCCTGCATCTTGACCCATGGTTTTGGGGGTTTTTCTACTTTGCTTTCTCCCTGCCCAGTCTTGCTGAGCAGAAGAGTGATAGAGTCACTTGGTGAGCACCTGGCATGCAACCAGGGTCAAACCACTACATAAGGAATGATCATTGCCAGCATTCATTGTCCATGATAACTGTTTCTTAGGTCTTTTTTTACAGAGCTCAAAATTGTTCTTACCAAAATTACATTCAATTATTGAAAGTAGTGGATATATCTTAAAGTAAATCTACATTATGTCAAGATGTCATTATTTTCAGTGATTTGATTCTTCTGCACGATTTGTGTATTGTTGTTTCCAAAAAGGTTTTTATTGTCTGGTTCTAGTATTTCAGTTTGTTGATTTAACTAAACTTAATGCAGACTATTGCATTAGTCCTTTTCCAGAGGTGGCAGAGTCTGTTCAGCAAGAACTGGAATCTTACAGAGCCCAAGAAGATGAAGTCAAAAGACTTAAAAGTATCATGGTAAGTTTTATCAACTGTGTTTCATGTAAAGCATAATAGGGCTTGTAGAGATGCCTAGTCCACCCTGTCATCCCACAGACAAAAATTTTCATTGTATGCAGAATTTTAGGCATGATACAATGTTAAAAGTAGGACTAGAAGTACCATATTTCATGAGAACTTTCAATTTCTTGTTCTTTTGTGTTGCAATTATATAATTTCCATGCTAACCGAAAAACACAATCCACATTTTGAGAAAATAGATTCTAAATGTACTGACTTCATGTGCGTGTATGATATTTGTATTTATTATGACTTTTTATTCCTCTTTTCAAACTCCTCCTCAAAATCCAGGGCATTGAAGGGGAGGATGAAGGAGCAATAAGTATGCTTTCAGATAATACAGCTAAGCTAACTTCAGCTGTCAGGTAAATAGTCAATAATGCATTGTTGATGTTTAATTATCCGTGAACCATTTCTAATTTTTTCTGTTACTGTGATTTTAGTATTCTTTGAAATAAATATCTTTAAATGGAGACTGTTCAGATTTATAAAATAGTCTAAATGCTTTATAATTCTGATAAAGTTAAATGCAGTGTCCTAAACCAGTGCTTGCATATGTAACTTCTACAATGTGTTTGACTTTGGAGTCTTTCCTCAGCAAAGACAAGTAATCTAAGTGCATCATAGATTTGCTTGCACTTTTCCACCAAAATCCCCAACCTCTGAATTCTTTTGTAAAAAAAAAAGGTAGTGAAATCCCCTTCCTCAGGTATGGTTATGAGAATCAGTACGTCTATGCATTGTCTTTTTTAGTTCCAACCTATTCTGTCATTTTAGATTTTACTAGCTTTTAAAGGTCCTTTCCAACCCAGACTGTTCCATAATTCTATAAATGTTTTAGTACCTCCTTTATACAGTGCACAATTCAACTAACAGTGCAAATCAGCAGGTTAGTTTGTATTTAATCTCTTCAGCTCTCTTCCAGAACTTCTGGAAAAGAAGAGACTCATTGATCTTCATACGAATGTTGCAACAGCCGTTTTGGAGCACATAAAGGTACAATTGCTCTCTAACTTGAGTTTTCTGTCAGTAGTACTCTTTAACTTAAGGAATATATTTAAGGCATTGAAGATAAGAAAATTATCCTTCTCAGTGTGCTACTTTCAGAATTTACTGTGTAGCATTACTTAGTGTTGAAGGGTGAGAAAGAATGAATTTTGAATGCCTCTGCATGGGAAGTAAACACCAGCTTTTTTCTTATCAGAATTTACTAGTATATTCTCATTTTTTTAATGGTGGCCACAACTGTTATTGTGGGTTGAAATCTTTCAAAAATAAGTTTATGATGGAAGTGTTTTGTTTATTTTTAAAATGCATCATAGCAATTCATTACTTCAGTCTAAGCAATATTTTGTTCTGTATGTGTTTGTCAGAAGGGCACCATTGACTTCTCATACCCAGAGATGTGGCAATAATGATGCAAGTTACTGAAGTGGTCTTTCCAGCAGGGTCTGTGTTTGATGTTTTCTCAGCATGAAAACAGAAATTTTAGATGAGGCTTTCAGAAACACTGAAATTCTTTTCAGTTTTTGAAGGTGTTTCAAAGACCAAGTCTCTCAATAAAACCACATCAAGTCTCTCAAAAAAATCAGTAATTAGAGAGTTTTGAAGCTGCCTTTAATATTTGTAAATAATGTAAGATCTGTCCTCAGTTATTGTTACTGAATTTTTTAAGTACTCCATATGAACAAAGGATTAATTCTGCAATTAAATTAATAAATTCATTTTACATATTTATAAAGTGGGAGAAGAAGTAGTAAATGTCTGTGCTTAGCTCATTACTATAGGAGCTAGTATATGGGCTTTTACACTATTAGGAATGTCAAGTTTCATATATGACAATTTAAAAGCAGTACTTTAATACCACTGAAAAGAATTGAAGTCAACAATATTAATATTTTGATGCCCTGACTATAAATTAATTTTTCCAGGAAAGATACTGGCATGATAATGGCAGGCCTAGACCAGTAGTATTCTATATATGATTTGTTGGTTGGAAAACAAGTTTCAGAGCAAGATGTAAAACAGCAGTAACATCAGTTTGGCTTTCCAGTATCCTGTTGGCAATGAGCTGGAGTCAGGTACATTAAATGATAGCAACACATTTGATTACCTAGAGGTGGAAGGAATTGCCTTATCTGGGCACTCAGCAAGCCCTTGGCTTGCTGCTCTGATAGGGAGCCTGCTATTAACGCGTGCCCTAGGAGTGGTGGTCCATTCCTCCATGATTCTTAATTCTGGTACTGCAAAGTGCTCAGGCTCTTTACCTTCTTACTGTATAAATGTCAAAGAAAATTTTGAGATAAATGGCCATTCAGTTTCTTCAATGTATTGATAATGTAACATCTCCATCATCTTTTCTTTTGATATAGAAAGCATGAGTTCATTTCAAGATATTTAGGAAACTGTATTAAACTAATGTAGACCAACATGTTTTTTCTATTGAAATTTGCCTGTGGTAAAGCCTTTTAACTGAATCAATGTAAAGTTTATTCCAACTGCTTTCTCCTGACCATTTTCTCCTCTCTTTTCACCCTCCAGTGTTAGAAAAAGTATCTTTCAATCTTGAGCTGTGGAATTTCAGTATTGGAATTTCAGGATGTTATGCTACCTAATGGATTCCTCAAAAATACTCTCAAAAAGGATCTCATCCAGTACTTTAAAAGAAATTCTGATGAGACATTGACTCTGTGGTTAATAGCTTTTATACACAGTTAAATAATGAAACCAGATTAGGATAAGCCTGAATTTTTTTTTGCAAGTAAGTGCTGAGGTCATGAGGAGGTAGTGAGACACCATGCTCTTCTTCAGGTTACTATATTGTCACTTCTAAAATAATCAGGAAATGCATTCATTCTTTAAAATAGACTGTTTGCATTATCCAATATGGGGTTTTACTGTATCAATTATTTGAACATTTTTCTTTACTACATATGCAAAGAATGTAACAAGACCTGCTCTAGATATACTAAATGAATTTAGCTTTTCTTGTGGTCATATTTTAATGTTCAGTTTACAGCTGCTTTCCACATTCTCTTGGATCATTTTCTGATTCACAGCAAGAGGAAACCAGAAATTAATCACTTACTTACGGCTCCTGGCAGTTTTTTGGCTTAAGTTTTTAGTGAAATAACGGAAAGTATGCATCACTTTTTCAAGAAGCAAACCATCAAGTATTTATTGTCAGTGCTTAGAACAAATGCATCCTTGTTTTGCATTTATTGGTTTTCCTCTGCCGAAACTGGTGACTGAAGGACTGGACCCAACAGATAAAAGATTTAGATCTAGGGTTGCCTATCTAGCTACTTTAAAGTTTCAAGTACTCCTTATGTCATTCTAATATGAATAGATTTATTGATGTATGTTAGATCATGAATACAAAAAGATGCACACATATAATTTTCTAAAATTATGGCTGGGGATAGATTAGATAACCTCTTGCTAGAATTCTACAGATGTGAATGTAAGTGGCAGATTTTTATATGTATTGTTGTCTGTCTTAATTACTTGAGTTTGTTCGATTAAGGGTTTTTTAAATTCCTACATGGTTTTATTATGTATCTCTACTTCTCCTTGATCTCAAGGTCTGATACTTTGAATGATCTCTTAATTGGCATCCCCTTAATAGGGAGTGACAATAGCCTTTTAAGTTTTCAAATTCATATTTTTAAAGGAATTCCACTATTTTAAGTACTTGGTTTTAAATAAGGTTACATTTTGATCTTACACCATGTGAAATGGTATGTGTTTGTGAAATATCTATGTGATAGTGGGTGAGGCTGTTTTTCTGTAGTTCAGAACTGATAATTCAGTAACCTAGTAACAGCAGCTTTTTCTGAGTTCAGCTGCGGTGACCTTCCTACCATCATTCTATGCAGTTCAGTGAAAAGGAGTTGGCTGTGTCTGCTACTCCCAGCCTTCTGCCAGAGTTTCTCTTCCTCTCAATAGCAGCACACTATAATTACCTGACCAGCCTCCCTCATTCTGGAGGCAATTATTTCTAGTTGTTCTCTGTCAGCATCTTTGAAAAAGACCTCAGATAGTTTCTTAGAAAATGTCTTCTCTCTTCTGCATATTCTCTCACTCTAAAATTAAGAACTTTTATAGCTTAAAGAGCATAGAAGAGCTTCCAGCAAGTCTTTACAAAAATTACCCTCTAAGAGATTTTAATGGGTTCTGCTTCCACTTACTTGCTTTAAAAAGAAGGGATTTTGTGTTTTGGAGTACAGTGCTCAAGTAGACTTTCCCATGCACTTCAGTAAGTTTCCCTAAAATAAGTTTTGGCTTATGAACAGCCTATGTCTAAAGACGATAAGTGAAGGCTTTCACAAATATATTTTTTTAAAAAAAGCAAGCTGAAGTGTTACACTTTAACTTCAGTATAGAATCCTGTTCCTGAAAGGGCAGCCAGAAAGGTCTCTTGAATGAGATTGGTATGGAACAAGATGTCATAGTAGAAAGTCAAGAGCAGGAGGCAGAAAAGGAATAACTGTAAATGTAAATGCATCTTTATTTTATTATTTTTTATTATTATTGATTTTCTTCACATTGCTTGCCAGTTTGGCACCGATAAGAACATATTCTTTGCTGTGTTTTTTGTTGAATCTACAGGATTGTTTAGCTCCTATTCCCCAGCTTTTCCTCTTGGCATGTCTGTGAGTTTGCCATTGAGTGAGCAAAATTGCATTTATTTAAATTAAATGGGACATCTGCTTCTTAATGCACCTGTTAGACAAGTTTGCTCTTCAAGAAGTAACTGTCTCATTGATGTGGCATATCTGGGATATCTATCAAAAGGTAACTAGTAGTGTTTAAGGCTACTCAGTAACCCATATGAAATATGAATAGGTGTCCACCTAATTCCTAGCAAACCAATATAAGGAAAATATTGCCCTAATTAGATCTTTGCTAGTAAGTTTTGTTAGTTATCTAGTGAAGAAGCAGCTGAGTTAGACTTACAGTATTGATCCATCTCTTTAGTTTGTCACATCAGAGTCTGAAATGTTTTGCATTGCTGCTTACCTCTGATGTCCCTATTGTGGATAGAAAAGAAATAGACAGCAGATAGAAGAAAAAATGTGGACCTGAAGTTTTGGGATTTTCAGTTTGGGGTTTTTCCTCCAAAGAGTGCTGAGTTCACACTTCAAAAGTAATTGTGCCAAATTTTTGAAGACAGTGAGTGTATGTATATCATTAATGTTTCAGTTTATTCTCAAAGTATAGCACATACATGCAACCAGTGAGTTGTCTTTGCTGCTGCTAATCTGTTTTGTTCAGCAGCCATAGTCAAACAGTCATAAAATTGCACATGGCTGAGAAGAATTTTACCTAGTGTGTGCTCCAAGTAAGTTAACAAATGTCAGTGTGTTCTTAAAATTGAAAGTAATTGATGTTTGAATTACAAAATTTTATTTAGAAGTTGATCTGTAAACAAATACAGAGAATCAGTGAATCTTTTTATGTTGTACATTTTTACATGCCATCTGAATAAATTTCTCGTAAACAGATCACCAGCTAAGATAATACAGGCTTTGCCAAATTCAACAGTAATATATTTAACTTTATAAGATCAAGTTTCCACATTTCAAGACAATCCCCTTTTTATTGGATGCCTTTTGTCGAGGAAAGATAGTTTAAGCTTAAAAACATTGAATTTAGCCTCACATAACAAGATACTAATGTGGATAAAACACAAAAAGCAAGTGAATGTTATGAAAATACTTTAAAAATTGTACTAGTTTCTTCACAATTTCTTTATGTCTATAGAAAGAATTAAGGAAACTGTAACACATAAAATCTCCAAGGTACTCTAGAATTGAGGTCTCACATGGTTTGCCAGATACCAAATTGCATTTGATGTAAGGTCTTGAAAAAAGGCTGGTAACTCGGTTCTATTCAGACTTCATACCACTCTTTTAACATAAGCTCAAGGTAAATACAGCTTGAAATAAGCTCTAGTCCTTTTTTTTTTTTTCCTCATTTCATGCAACTTCTATGTAGTCATAGTCACTAAATCAACAGAAGACATTCTTCTGCCCTTAAAAGTAGCAGGGGGTCATGTCTGAGTGCTCTTCATGGTAATTTACTTTATAAGCTGTAATTGCAAGCATCCACAAAAGCTTTAAATTAAGTTGTTGCTTTGCAAGTAACTGCTCTTGTCAAGGAGTTCAATAAGTGATGACTGAGAAATGGAAGCATTGTATAGCTACCTGCATCATAAGCTAACCACCATATGCTTTCAATATAAAAATATGCTTGTAATTACTATCTTTTTTACTTTGTTTTCTCTTCTCTAGCTCTTTTGTTGAGAAACTTACAGTACTCAGAAGGTGAAATATCCTGATAGCCTTAGGCTAGAGAAGTACCTTTTTAAAATTATTTTTTATTTGTATTCTCAGGAATAATTTTAGTAGAATTCAGAAAAATGTGAAAAAACCAGACTTCAGAAGTTTTTATGTACTGTCATTACAACTACTGCACTGAATACAAGATGCCACAGCAGTTTTAAATGCTTTGACATTATCAGGCAAAATTTCTCAAATCATTTAACACAAGAAAAGCAAGGTGACTCTTGCTCACTCTGACAGTATCATTTCAGTCTCACAGCAGCAATGATGTAGAGCTGACACACTTCCAAAACAGTGAGATGGAGATCCACTCTGCCAGTCTTCTGTTTGAGCCAATCCATAGCTGAATATGTTCAAATATCAGGATTTAGTTAGTTACCACATACTACAGTTTTGTAAGCTGAGTAGCTGTAACATTGGTTATGATGCTACATTTTAATGTTCAAACACACATTATGATCTACATTGTAATGGAACATTTTAAAATAAGTTCTGGGGTGCATTTTTCTATTTTTGGCCTGTAAGATAAAAATATCAGTAAGTGCAAAGCTTGTCTGTTTGTGCAGATGTGCTGCAATGTACTCATTACTTGCATGGCCATGTGATGTCTTGAGCTTTTGCCTCAATAATTTTGTATAGTCCTCATGCCCATCCTGTCCCCTAGTCCCCCTGTCCCCTAGTCCCATCCTCCCTAAAAAGGATTTTCACAATATCTAGATGTCTCATTGTATAATGAGAGACTACTTTTCCAGTGTTAACAAGATAATCTAATTATAAACTTCTCCATCTTTGGTGTGAGTGAATTATGGCAAGCCTTTGATCTGAGGTAGTATTTCAGTACCAGCCCAAGTTGGCAGTTGCCAACATTTCTTCAGGATGATGCCTTAATGTATAAGGGAATTTCCCATATTTATCTGCACTGAATAATTGTCTTGTGGTATGAGAGCCTGGAGATACAGAATAAATTTAACATAATATTCACTTGGCCATTATTTTTTCCTTTTACAATATAGCAATGGGTATGATGGCATGTAATTTTCAGCTGTGCCAAAGCCATAGTTGAAAAGAAAGCTTCTCTTCCAGATCAGTATTCACAGCAGACACCCCTTGCTTAACTTTTTCACTTTTAGTATGATAATTACACATCAATTTTCTGAGAGTTAATAAAAGTATATTATAATGCAAGCATTAGTTGCTTTTACTGATAATTTATTTTAAAATAAAATTTTTAAAAATGTATTTATAACTTGAACTACATGCCTCTTAAAAGAGAAAATAAATATTCTTTCACAATTTTAAGATGTTAACCCAAACACTTACTTTTAAACAGAGTCGAAAGCTGGATGTTTATTTTGAATATGAAGAAAAAATAATGAGCAAATCCACTTTGGATAAATCTCTTCTGGACATGATTTCTGACCCAGATGGTGAGTACTTTAAATCTGAACTTGGTATAAAATTTGTTAAGCTATAGAATAAATCTATACCTGCTTGGATTTCAGGGTTGGTAAAGGTCAATCTGTGCAAGATTTGTAAAGAAAACAGCTTTTGATTGATCTTCAGTAGCAGTCTAGAGAGTTTAATGCTTCAGTTGAGTAATATCCAAAGAATTAGCTGCTTCTGCAGCTCTACTAAAATCCTCTCCTAACCCCTTATTTTTGAAGGTCAATATATTTTATTTTGTGCTTTTCCGGTGTTTAGTAGTGTAGCATAGTATTCTGTTGTCTGAACAATACTAATTATTTAAAACCCTACTGCTTGTTTTATAACATATACATAGCTCACAAACACAATGAAAACTTTGTGGAATTTGATTAGATCAAGGGACTGTGATGTAGGTAGGTCGTGCTTTTGTGAGGAAAGAGATGAATGGGACAAGTGGAGAGAAGGGGCACAAGATGTAAATTGGCCAGTTCACTGGGACTCACCTGAAGCTTTGCATGTGTTGAATCAGCTGTGGCATGTCTCTTTTCATCATGTAAGAGCACGAGCAATGCATCCCAGCTTTTCTGTTAGATATGGGTCATACATATCAGAGCATTGCACACCAGGGGTGCTCAGATTCTCTATTAGCAGGGGTCACTGGGGGTCTTTCTCAGAAAAGCTGGCCCAAATGACTTCTCAGCTTTTTGTACTATTCCAGCATCAATTCTTCTTTCAATATGTCACAGCCTGAAGCGTGTCATAACCCTCTGATGGATTTCAGTATGATTTGATACCAGTTGGCTGGAAGAAAACAACATGCAGAGCAAAATTCTAAAACTTAAATTATGATCTCTGACTTGTCTGCATACTGGCAATTATGTTGGCAAACCTCAAGCATTTAGAGACCCAGGGTTCCTGCTCTTTCTCCAGTGTGCTCTTTAAGAAAACGTTTTGTTACTGCGTGATTATGTCTGTAGTCTCACAGCTACATACTGAGCTTAATGCCTGCTTGGAGTTTGTATAATGATTCATATTTATAGAAAGAGTACATATACATCCTGCTGACATTCTACAAAAATCTTTGAATAGTGTCCATGCTATATAATCAAAAGGCAGTAGGAGAAATAGTGCACAGTTGGTAGAAATCGGAGCTAAAGTTTTAAAGATCTCATAATGGGTCAAGTCTAGAAACTAATAAACTTCAAGGAAATCTAATGTCAGGCATCAACCTGTAATTGAGTACATAGATTCATTTTTTATTTGAAGCTAATAAGAATGTGTATTATCTGTACTTTTATTATACCTTTTTAGAGTTCAGTGTTGAGCAAATGCTTTTCCAAGCCTGATGTATCTTACTTACCAACATTCCTATTAGCAAGGTTCCTGTGTTTTACACAAGAGAAAGATTTGATTCACACGCTAGAGTTTTTCTTCATAAACTAGGTATTAAGGTTTTCACAGTATTATGTTAGCATTTTATAGGCATTGCCTAGGTTTAAGTTCATGTAAGAAAAAGACTTTAGTTAAATCACAGTGATGCTGTCTTGTTAAACGGTCCAGCCTCATATTGTGTGATTCATTGAGAAATACCATCAGAAAACATTTTTAAGGAACAATACATCAAGTCTTCCTGTGCTTCTGGTGGATTATCTATTGGCATTATATGTGGGGATATTTGTCTTGTGGATGATGGGATCTGCAGAGCCCTTGATAAAAGCACTTAGATGTGACCACTTAAGAGTTTTCAGGCTTCAGCCTCCCATTTGTTACTGTATTGTTCTTATCTGCCATTCAGGACTCTTAGCTGCCTCCCAGTTTAGTGCATATTAGCACACCCTGGAGTAGTGACAAAATGGGAGCTAGGGGCTGCCTGCTGATCTTTCAACCAAATATAAAATCGGTCCATTCTAGGTTTGCCAAGGTAGGTTTTCTTCAGAATGGTGAGCAGTTTGCCTCTCTGTGCTGTCACAGATAGTAGTCTAGAAAAAAGTAGTGAATATTTTGACAGGCAATTGACCTGAGTCTTTCAGCTGTTTATCACAGCTTTTTTTTCCCACATGAATTCCAGGTGGATCTCCACCTTGAAAGCTGGCCTTTGGTTTAGATAATACAAAGTTTCTTCAAGTTCTTGATCTTCTGACTTACTGTTGTTTGGTAGAGGCTAGTAAAACTTACTTTGCAGAGAAGATTTTACCAAGTCATAAATGCTCATTATGACAGCACTTACTCTTAACTTCTGCCAGACTAAATATATGCTCACTTATAAATAAAAGTTGCAGATTAAATCAGATGGTCTCCTGCTGATATAATCCACATTCCATAGTAGGGGAAAACAACCCAAAACAAACAATACAGAAAAAGAAAAACAGGGAAAAAAAGTCATTTTCTTACCCGCAAGTACAAGAAAGTGCAATCTTATAAAATATTGTATCAGGATTTTATAATGAATTTTAATTTAAAATATATGTTTTAAGAAGCTGTTCTTCTGAAAACTTCATTTGAAACTCTTGTCTTTACTAACAGTGATTCTGTTCTAGAAAAATAAAAAAGATGGTGTTCAAAATCTGATGTAGTTTATAGTCTAAGTAGTGGCTACATCAACCTCTTGATCTGGAGAGATGTATTTATATTACATGTGAATAATACTTCCCAAGAATGGGGAGTGTATTTCTCCAACAAAAGAGGATTGAGGAGGTGAAATCCTTTCTGAAGGCAAGTTGGAAGTTCAGGGATATTTTTCCTGACTAGAGGTTCATATAAGTGCTTTTGCAGTCCTCAGGTATTTCAGTACAGTGAGCCATAGAGCTGTGTAAGCAAGTTGTAGAGCTAAAACATAATATGCTGTGGCTTTTACTTCTATGATTTTTCTTTAATCTGCTTTTTCATGGATCTACTTCCAGATAACGTTTGCAGTCTCACATCAAACAAGTCATAATTTCTCTACATAATCTATTTAGTGTGTTATATAAAGAATAATATTTACTGCAGATAAAAGGGAGAAGTGTAAAACTTGCAGAAAGAATGAGCACATCTAACCCAACTCTTAATAAAAGTGCTGTATGTGTTTCTTCCATTTTACACATTGAAGAAGGCCGTGGTTATCAATAACATTTATTGTCATGATTAAAGATTTGCATGTAAATATGAATGGCTGCTGAAGAGCAGTTAATGTAGCAGCATAGTTACAATTGTAGGTTTTAATTATTTTTTTTATTTCTTTCTTATTGCAGCAGGAACTCCTGAAGACAAAATGCGATTATTTCTCATCTATTACATAAGCTCAGCTCAGGCACCTTCAGAGGTACTTACGTTCTTTACAGCTTTCAACACCAGATTTTACCACAAAAGATTTTCATTTCAGCACTAAGCAGATATTTCTGTTTCTTTGCAAAGGGAAGTATGAAATGCCCAGGAAATTCTAAAACTTTAAATAAATTTTGTCTTACTGCCAGGAAATCTGCTTACAAAGCTTAAGCCACCATTTCAAAGCATATTAATGACTAGTAAGGAGGAATATTATATTACAACATATTTAGATCAGAGTTACTGCAAGACACATCTTAGCATAATTTTTATTACTCTGCTCCACTGCTAAAAGAAGTAGGTAAAGCAAAACAAAAATACTACTTGTTTCACTCCATATTCATATATTCGAGAATGATTGAGTCAGTTGATTAGCAGGTGAATGAAGGAGAAATGCAACTGCCAATATTTGAATAATTCAGGAAGCAATTTCTTCATATTTCTTTTGAACTCAGGATGATTAATTTCAAGGAAAACTCTTAAAATGTAGAGCATTATCTGGTGGAAAAAATGTTTGGTTAGGCAAATAGAAAGTATTTGTATTAATATAGATTAACTCCTCTTTGTTTATTATTTACTTTTTTGACATTTCACAGAAACCAGCATTCTGTTGGTGCTAGTTTAAAGACTGTTCCATATCTGAAAGTGCACAGGATTTAATTCCACAAACACTGCTCACTTTAATGGGATCTGCTCGTGGCAAATTTAATTTCAAATTTCATTTCCATACTTGGAAGGAAATGGGGTTAAGATGCATAATTACTTTTTAACTTCATCAATGCTATAACTTTGCACTGCTTATTTAATATTTAGATAAGAATATCTTGTCTTTGTGCATGGGGTTAAGAGTAGCTTCAACCTTATATAATTTTCCACTTTATGATTTCAGATTGACTTGGAGCAGTACAAAAAAGCATTGATGGATGCAGGTTGTAATCTCGCTCCTTTGAGCTACATAAAACAATGGAAGTAAGTAAATTCTTTTTTCTCCTATATGAGGATAACTGGTTAATATAGAATGCAGCATTGTATTCAGGAATTATGTGTTACTTCTCTTAAAATATCCTTAAATATTCATTTAGTATAAATTTTTACTGTCATTGTTATGGTAACACATGCAAGTATTATTTTAAAACTAAGCTCCAGTAGTGCCAGAACACTATAGAACATGACATGTAGTAGTGTCCTTAATGATCCAGGACAGAAACAACTTACTGAATTAATTGAAAAGTTGTGCTGGTTCAGTCTCCAAAGTTATTTTAGCTCATACCAAGGAGTCATGTTGGATATCAGTTATTGTTGTTTTACATGTTTTTTGAATGAAATCTTTGTCTTTTAACTATAAAATCTAATTCCTATTGTATTTGTAGGCAAGAGGGACGCATATAATAGTTACTTCCTGAAAGAGTTTGAAATGCAGAAGTTTTTTCACTGTCAGTTGACTAGAGTGGAACATTCTACAGCAGTATATGCCTGAGATAAATATTTGACTTCTATCCCTGCTTTTACAGAGCTTTTACTAAGATGGCTTCAGCTCCAACCAGCTATGGAAACACTACACCTAAACCTTTGGGGTATGCATTTGATTAATTTTTTGTAAGTCTTTGGGTTATTTTATCTTATTTTAGTAGTACTGAAAGTGTGATTAGTGTTATACAGTGCCCGGAACAAAACATCTCCCTCTTTGTAAAATTTTTAAGTTACAGACAATTAAAAGCACTCCTCTCCCCTTGACAGTGCATAGTACACACAGAGAGGAAAATTGAAGAATCTGTGACTAAATTCACAGACTGTCTCAATACAATGCTCTCTGCACCTGCACATTAAATGCACTTTCACAGGAGAGGAATTCAGCAGCAGGAAGTGGATCTGTGTCAGCTACACCTTGAGCTTTAAGTTGTCAGTGGCAGAAAATAAAAACAGCCCTATATATTCAAAATCATTTGAATATATATATCTCCTATATGAAAATATATATCTCCTATATATAAAATATGCTGGGCGTCTGAGTGCTTGTTGAAAGGTGTAGTTATTTATTTCAAGACACAAAAAAAGAATTACTGTGCTAAGGTTACATATATCCCATACAGGATATAGGATTAGGGTCTTTCTGTTCTTCAGAGGATTTCAGTTTCATTACCAACTTTACTTTCAGGAATGCCTTGTCATTGGCATAAGGAATCTGCAGCACAGTATGGTTAGAGAGGATTTGGGTGCTGTTTCACTTGGGAAAATTGCTCTTTGGGTTGTTGCAGACACTCAGCATCTCTGTTAACCCTGCTCATTAGGATACCCACTTGAAAGGAGCACTCACATCCTCATGTTACTGAAGTTGTAAAATAAACTGGTCAATGGGTTAAAGACTAGAATCCAAGGCTCCCAGTGATAGGTGAGGTTCTATCTGGTAGACTGCAAGTGTATTCCCATACACTTGATTGCCATGTGATATGAAGATTTTATGACAAACTGAATTGCTTGGTACTTAGGTTCTGTTGACCTTATTGGGAATGCGATGCCAGTAAAAAGCTTAAGAATACAAATTAAAAACAAAAATATCTTGCACATCACCTTTATTTTGGTTTTTCAGTCTGTTTTCACGTGTTATGAATACAGGATCACAGTTTGTAATGGAAGGAGTGAAGAACTTGGTACTGAAGCAACAAGTAAGTTTAAAAAACAATTTAAAAGTCTATAATGAGTATTGCGAACATTTGGAAAAAGAAATTTCAGTACCTTTGTCATATTAATAAAATTAATTGTACAGTGGAAAAAATAAACATAAATCTCTGCTTATGGATAGATCTATCGCTTTGTAACTTCCAGAGATCAAATAAGTAACAAATAATTCACATTTTCTTTGAAGACCTTTTTGTAGCGATTAAGACTGATTTCTACATTATAAAAAGAACAGCTGTGGAATACTCAAAGTAGACTAGGCCTTCAAACAATAAACCAAAAAATATAACTATCTGTATCTTTACTTAGAACTACATGCATTAATTTATTCTATTTTAGAGTGATTAAAAGGCTGAAAATGTTAGTTCTCTGTTTACTTACAATTCAAACACTTATTTTTATCCATGGGAGTGTAATGTACAGCAACCATAATCTTGTAATGTGTATGAAAATACAAATATATTTATAATGACATGACCACCTTCAAATATTCACTTAACTTTATATTAGCTAAATATTTCTGAGCAAAACTTGCATGTTAGTGTACACCCTTCCCAAAGAAAACAAACAGCAACAACAACAGGAAAGAACTAATTTTATAACTTGTACCTGGAATGTTGAATTGTGGTTCCCAGGAACCTGTTCCTCTGCAGAGGATAAATTATTTACCCAATGTGTACTTTCATCAGATGGCAATAAATAAATATTTCTTTAAAGTTTAAAATCTTAATTCTGTAGTATTTTCACATCAAGATTACTGAAAAAAATAATTCATCATATTATAATTTAGTTGAAGAGTCAGAATTTAAATTAGAAATAATAACATATCAGAACTAAATAAAATGAAATCTTAGCTAAATGTTTATCTTTTTGACTTTCTTAATCTTTTGAATGTCATTATTTGTTTATTCAGGCTGTTATACACATAATTTATACATTAATGGTGTCAGCTATCACAGATAAGTTTGAAATTGGGGTCTCAGTTTTATAGGGTAGTTAATGAAGTTAATTCTGCAGGAATTTCAGTAGACTAGAATGATAAACTGCATTGCAGAGTTACAGTTCATTGGTATCTTGAAATATGATTGAGGAAAATTTAAATATGCAGCTTGCCTGTGTGTTATATTTTATAGAGAACTCTTCAGATAAACTGTTACTTTTAATAATAAAAAGTAATTATAATATCCAGGAGACTTCCTCCTCTTCTTGTATTAAATATTTTGTCTTTTCTTTAAAAGTGTGGCTTTAAAGAGTTAATATTATTCTGTAGAAAATGGCTTGCGTTGTTTTGTGCTCTCAGTGAGCAAAAAGCCCATTTGTTAGTGTTTTCAGGATGTGCCTTTTCTGGCTTTTTATTTCTTTTCCAGATATTTTAGGGTAGCCAGATGAGAAGCCTTTCTTCCTCTTATTTGTAAGCCTAATGTAGGTCTGTGGTATTTCTGTTAGAGATAACTTTTTTTTTTTCCTTCAGGAATTCAGGGATTCACATCAATTTTCCAGTGTAATATGTAGATAATCCTGTGGAATGTCTTCTTTTGATACATTCTGTCAATAAGACTCATTTCCAATCCTGTTGCTATGTAAACTCACCCTCAGTTTAACTCCTTAATGTTCAGGTCTTTTGTCCCAGCTGACATTTCCCATGTTAAGTAAGGAACAGTAATCTTGAATTGCACGTCAGTTTATTTCCTTTGCAAGTCATCCAACCATTTGTTAGCAGGGTTGCTTTTTCTACTCATTACTTTGACAACATTAGTTCTTTTTTAGAATCACACAATTATCAGCATCAGCTTTAAAATTCTTTCCTTAACTGCAATGTATTTTTTAATAAGAATTAATATTTTATCACAAATGCATATGTTGGTAATACCTAAATACAGCTCGTTCCTATCTTCACACTTCTCTTGCACTTTGTCTTATCTTTATCCCCTAATTATATGTACCTCAGATGTTTGCATTTTTTTACAGAAAAGTAATTTAGGTGATAATAAATAAGCTTAACCTTTACGAAGCATAGGAGGAAAACTTCTAAAATAGTAGTTCAGATGCTCTTTAAACTCTTCCATAAGTAATAATATGCCTGGGAATTGTTCTTTTCAGCATTCCATCAATTTCAAATTATGTTTTACAGAATTTGCCAGTCACACGTATTTTGGACAACCTTATGGAGATGAAGTCAAATCCTGTGAGTACAATTGCCTTCATATAGAGAGGTGGAGCAAATGAAATCTTAAGGCTGTGATATGTAATATGCTATAGCTAATTTTTTTCATGAATTAAAAAATCCAGTCATGCTGTAATTCAAGAATAGCACCATTTTCATAACTATTTAATAAGACCTCTTTCTTTAAAATAGTCTAAACATGACAATTTGTGTCTCATTAGAACTAATATTTTTTAGATTTTTCCTATCCTGAGCTTCTATTACACTTATCTTATACTAAGCTGTAGACTGAAATTTTCTGTGCATCAGTGTTTGGATTTTTTTAAAAGAGCACAGTTTCAGAAGTGAAATATTTAGAGTTGTATTAGGGAAGATTACATTTCCCACATCTTTAAACTTTGCTGTGTAGAGGAAAATATTTTACTACTGATTCAGTGATTCTGTTTGCAAGCAGATGTGGTTTTCATCAGAAAATTCCTCTTCTTCCCTTGTTTCGGTAAAAATTTACTGAGATATTTTAAATTTATATATTACAAATTTTTGAATTGCTTATGTGTTAGCTACACAGTCAAGGCATTTTCTAGAACTAACAACTAAAAGAGGCCTGCTTAGTAGATTCAAAATATTCTTCTTTGTCCACTTTTATCTGCATTTATTAACTGTATGTACAGAAAGAAAAATAATGGTAAAATACAAAAATTATCAACATGCAAGTAATCCTTTATTTTCTTAAACCCTAGTTCATAGATGATACATGTCATGATTCTTGGCAGATAATTTGCTTTCTCTTAACAAACAAAGGAATTGACACTGTTTCCAGTGTTAGATGAATATTGTTCCTGATTGAAAGACTTGGAAAAGATGTACAGGGCTAACTTTATGTAGTCAACCAGCAGAGGTCACCCAGAACACTTACCATAGAAAGCTAAAATTAAAACTATAGATAACTTAGAAGAAGGTGAAAAATTAAACCAGTTGTTTTTAAATAAACATTAGCTTCCTCAGACTACAAGTTTAAGAGTTGATTAAGAAAAGTTTACAAGTCATATGAGGGTTTTTTTCTGACTTGATTTTTTCACATTTTACTTAGTAGTAAACAGCTACCAGAACTTTGATAATTTGGAGAAAACATTGATCCTTCCACTTAAAAAGATCAGCGATTGGGCCAATCTGTCTGTCAGTCAGCAGCTTCTTGTTCCGCTGCTATGGCAGAGACCAATACTCACGGCACAAAACAGGGAGTCCCACTTTTCAGATCAGAGGAGACCAGGCAATCCCTAAAGATTGTTTCTCTTAACCTGCAGGAAAACTGACAGCAAGTTCGGGAGTCAGTTTCAGCTAAAGGAAACAAGGCAGAGAGTCATTGTGGAATGTGTTTAGACTTGATGTACTATCAACAGAAGTGAAATTGTATCTGGAAAAGGTCAATGTGTGGAAATACACATTGTGGCTTCTGTTCATCTTCTGATGTGTGGGATCCTTTTCTATTTCCCAGAATAGAAAACTACTGCACTGCAGGCAAAACACAAAGGGAGAGGAAAAAAGTTCAAGATTTTATTTTTTACAACACAGAAAAAAGTCTCCTTTATAGTTCAAGAAATCTTATTAAGCACAGTAATCAGTATATGAAATATACATACAGATAAAAGGTGTAATGCAAAATTAGAGCAGATTATTGAGAAGTCAAGCAATTATTACAATGAATGTAAATAATTTATTTTCTAGATATTAACTGCAACAATAAAGGAAATATATGAAATGTACATGCAAGTTGTACCAGAAACATTAACATATATTATTGTCAGTTGAAATCTTAAACCTATTTAGAATGATATCCTGTGCAAAACTCTGTAGGGTTGTCCGTAAATTACTTTGTGTATTGCTTGTCTCTGCTGTTTCTTTTGTCTCCCTGGCAAGGACAAATAAGTCCATGCCACCTGTGCTTTCCAAGTGTTTCAGAAGCAGGAACAGCTAGAACAGATCTTATGGGCCATAATACTATCTTGTAACTTTTAAAATGTTTCTAGATTGTTTAACCATAGTTGCACCTTTTCTTGAAAAACATATCCAGAAGCATTCCTTGATGACCTTAAAAGTGATCAGTTACTTGTGGGTATTTTAAATAATTATATTTATTGTTAAAAAGCACGATTTTAGGCAATTTCTTTTAAGGTCAAATTTTAATAAAGGAATATTCTGTTAATTAAACTAAAACATAGTTGCCTTGTCTTGATGTCATTTGATTTACTATAGAGTTATGGAGATTCTTCAAAGTATATTCTAGGAAATGGTTTGATTACTGAGTGAGGAAGATCTTTGAAAAGTGAACCTTTACAAAGTGGCTTGGCCTCTGTCAATACAGTATATTTGTACATTTGTATTGACTTAAGAAGTAGATAGATAATCTGTGATACATATTCATGAAACTGTATTTTGGTTAATACAGTACCAGAGGATTTGTTACTTTTCAGACTTACTTAGAATATACCTTTTGTGCATTACAAATAAAAATTCTAATCCAAATTAGTCCTGTTCGATTCTGCAGAAAAACAAATACAATCTGAAAGTCAATGATATTTCCATGAGTCTTTTTCCATTTTAATTTGAAATATTGAAAACTAAGCTTATATATTCAGAAGTACTTATTTTCTTCTGGAATTGCTTAGGGAAGTCACAAATTCAGTTGTGTGTAAGGAAAGTGCTATACACTTGTTTTTATTGGCAGACTTGCTATTTGTTAAAGAAAATAAAATCTACTAGGCTTTCTTTCCCTGCACCCTCAGCACTGATTTCAGCAGGAATAGTGTATTTAAACAGCAACAAGGGAAAATCCCTAGGTTATCCCTACATTTCTATTGCTTTACCACTTTCTGTGTGTCTACTTATACAAGTCCACAGTGAAAAAACACAGGAATAATACATTCAGGAGTACGTGTTTCTAATATGTTTATTAACTCTGATTTTTAGTTCTGTCATTAATCTGTAATTCACTCTAATAAGCAGAGAAAGTTAATCTCTTTATCCCAGGTAAAGGTTTCTCAAATATCTCTCAGTTTTAGTCTATCAATATCTATCCATTCCCAACTCTCTCTTTACTCCAGAGTCACTATACCACCTTTAGGTATGAAGCTGCAAAATCATGAATGCTGGCAGACTCTGGAGGTTGAAATTCCCAATGGAGCATACAAAAAGTATTTTGCAGAGATTCAGTGGGAAATTAGATCTAAATTATTTTCTTTTTAAAAGCCAAACTGCAGGGTAAGAGAATTATTTTATGTAATTATATAAAAGTTTGTAAAATCAAATAGATTTATTTTGTGAGTGTGTAACCACCACATGTATATTAAATACTTTTTAATATTACAGGTAGTTATGCTATGTGAGCTCTAGTAAATTCCCCAGATAATTTGTCTACTACTCAAGAAGTATTATTTCTACTCTACAGAGTCATCAGAATTCAAAGGTTTTTGCAAGTAAGCACACAGATAAAATCAACTGTAGTTCTGCATGCAGTTTATCAACAAGCTAAACTTCACAGTACGTGAATGAAAATGTAGTATAGACACAGGAGAAAGCCAAGAAGTTGTCAGAAGGAGTTACTAAGAAATTTTGTTTTTCGTCCATAATAATTGGCAAAAATCCTGCTTGTTGCCAATAAAAATACTGGAAGTGCCTCAGTGTTCTATGTGAAGAAATTCTTTTTCTGTCGTTTAGAGAGTCAGACTTTTCAAATTTTTGTGGAACTCATTTCTTCTTCAAGAGCTTAATTTTGGTTTAATAGTAGTCATAAATCATGACACGAGAAGGATAAGTTACATAACAGTAGCAGATTTTGATCTGTCTTGTCCTTAGCACTCATTGCTGCCAAAGTGTTTTGTTTTATAATGTTAAATCAATAGCAGATCTCCCTAACCTGGAAAATTTTCACATTTGTTACTAACCATTAGTGTTCCTCTAAAGCTGGTAACAATTTTTCTTTCTGCATGCTGTCTTTCTGTTGGGATTTATTATGCAAGCATTGTATTTTTTGGAAAGTGTGTGATAGTCAATTTTAGGTGAACCAGAAATAAAAAAGCTCAATAGTACCCTTCATAGCTTCTCACTCTTGTTTATTCTGTACTGGTTCAGTTATATACACACTTTTTAAATATTAGTGGACACCACAATTATTGTTGAATGATGTGATGGGAAATGATACTGGTTTGAACAATGTTTAATGTAATATATACAAGCAAAAATTCATTAGCCAAATTCCAATCTTTTGAGATAAAAACATACTTTTTAATAGGAGACAGATGACTACCGGTATTTTGACCCCAAGATGCTGCGAGGCAGTGACAGGTAAGTTTTGCTTCTTTCCTTTTACTCTGTGAAAACACTAACTTAAGAAATCTATTTTATTTTACTTGCTGTAAAGGTAATTATTTTAATCATTAATTCTAAGTCAAGACAGTTGGTGTTGAAGGAATTCACATCTGGGAACTTGGATCAATCAGATAAATTTTTATAACACTGCAAAAAAAACCTAAAAAAACAAATGCTAACATGTACATTAGTTTAGTCACAGGAATGCGCATTAATATTTAGCAATTGAAAAATGTTAGCGTTCTTCATAGTCATACTACTTGTTTTCTTAGAAACTTTGTGAGTTTTCACTGTTAAGCTAAATAGTCATTGGATGGTGCACCAAAATTTATTTGTCACTTTTAAACAGCTACAATTTTCATTTGAATGTAACCCTTCTGTAGTAATTTCTTAATAAGTTAAAAAAAATATTAAAATTTGACTGCATTTACTTTTGTTTAGGTAGGTGCACATTTTATGTTCATCTGCATATGAAGGGAGGCTTGAATATAGTTTATTTTGCCAGTAAAAGAGAGGAAGAGGAATTATATTAGAAGTTTATAAATTTTGATTTTTGCTTTGTATCTTTAATGAATTGTCTGATAATCTCACCTAATCTAATATCCTAGCAACAGAGAAGATACTTAATTTTAATATTCCTTCTAAAAAGAACTTTCATCGAACCTGTGGGAAAACAGCAATCTCATTTGGTTGCACCACTTTATTACAGAGTCAGTGTGGATAAAGTAGATCCAGGCTTGGTTTTAGTTATTTGCATGAAAATTCTGTCTCTAGTTTGTACTTGAAACATGAAAAGTAAGAGGGCATAAATTTTAGATGATATGTATATTTTATTGGAAAGTATTATAGATTATATAATTTCAAAGATAAGCGAATTTTCAAATTATCAAAGAGAAAAGTACTAGTATTTTATGCTTCATTCTGATTTCAACTGTCACTTACATGTGATGTTTTTATAGCATTTTTGGTGGATTTTGTGCAAAAGTGCAAAGATTTATTTTACTCAAGCCAAAGGTTTTTTCCAAATATTTATTTGCCCTCTGTATAATTCTGACATTGCTTTAAACAATGTAGAAATATTCATTTACAGCAGTTCATAAATGCAGCATTCTGTATAGCTGTAATAGTCATCATAGAGAATAGTTTTAAATTTCTGTTTTGGGATTTGTATGTAAACTCAAGTTTACATCATAAATCATATTTGGGCATGATAGCAAAACTCATATAGTGGTTTATCTAATTCTCCCTTCAAATATTTTTGTAGACAATAAAAACATATGTCTTGACAAAACAGTGATATAATATAATTAATAGATTTAATTAAAAAGTTTCTGATTTTATTTTCTAATCTATTCCCATTTTAAGAAATACTGGCATTTCTACTTACTGTGTTTTAAATAGAGTAGTAACTGCATTGCTGTAATTCAGTCTTAGGAAAACAGTATCTTTCTAACCTGTGTAAAGCCTACCTCAAGTATAAACAGGCTTTGTCCTCTGAGAGGATGACACAAAATGCATGTGGATTTGTTGCATCATACTCAAAAATTAGAGAATAGGGGTAATGGTTCTACTTACAGGAAGTGTGTGCTATTCCTGACAATGTTCCAGAGCAACACATTAGAGATAGCCATTCCATTTTAAAACCTGTTTTTCTGATACACTGAGATCTGTGTTGAGTCAGTTGCTTTTTGTCACTCAGAGAAAACGTCTTGAAATAGGGGAAAAGGTAATTTGAAGGGGAAAATACAGTGGTTTTAAGCTATGTTAGAACATAAGATGTATTTGTCTACCTGGGGCTGCAGGCCAGTACAGGGCAGGAGGGCAGTGGTAGTGTGTGAGCAAAGGGTGGGAGAGCAGACTGACCCTTCACAGCTTTTTCTTCACTTTCCCCTTCCTCTGAAGGTGCAAGGTGATGCAGGAAAAAGAGGTTTCTCCCCCTTTACCTGCTACTTGCCTGCGTATTCAGATGGAGGAGGCTGTACCACCTGAACTTGTAATTTCCCTCCTCCTCCCTTAATCATTCTTATCCTACGTATCTGCTGCCTGTAGTAGTTTTTTGAGATTTGGAAGCACCAGTAAGTGTGTATGCAGGTGCTGCAAAGTGACTGGCTTACCTAGCTAAGATTCCAGGGGGTGGGATTGCTAAGTGCCATAAGTTGTGCTAACGCTGATCACATTTTTTACACATTGTATTTGCTCCTAGGTAACAGCACTATAGTTGGAGCTTTTAAACTATGGAAGAATTGTTGTCATGAAGCTTATTATTCAAACAGCAACATTAGAAATGATGAAGTAAAATTCCTATTTACTTATGTATTCAGTCCTATAAAATGAATGAATTTTCTATAACAAATGGAAAAGCAGTTATTGTTCTATATCATATTTTTGTTTAATATTATATAGTAGTCCATAAATATGATGGGTACATGATGCTCATTTTTCTTATTTCTATTAATGTGTAATGAAATCTTGTATTTTTATAGCTCAGTTCCAAGAAATAAAAATCCATTCCAGGAGGTAAGTCACATAGAAATTATTTTTCAATGTTCATGTGTTAAAAATAAATAAATCCTGAAGTACAGTCATTTTTGATGATAATGATTAAGAAAATGAGAGGTCTTATTTGCTAAAAAGCACTTAGACTAATTATATCTAGTATTAATTATAATTAGCTGTTATTCTGAAGCTTTTCATCTTCAAAGTACTATGTAAGTATTAACTAATACAGGAGAAAAAAATGTAGAAAATTTTCCTGAAGGTAATTACAGGGATTTACTAATATCATAATTGAGTGAGCAATTTAAATCCCCCATTTTTAGACCAGATTTTCAGAAAGCTCTCTAGATTTAATCCTTTGTCCAGCCTTAAACAACAGCATTGATGTAAACGACTATATTAAGAAGTCTCTGCAGTTAAAGGGAAAAAAGCAAAATCACGAATGTTATCATTTCATACAAATGCCTCTAACTTTCACTATGTAAATATTTACAAATACAAAAAGTTTTACCTCATTGCTATGAAGTTTCACAAGCAAAATATTTGCTTGGCAATATACAAATGTTCCTGATGTCCCATGAAATGTCCTAATTATTCTCAGGAGCAAAAGAAATACTACATGATATCCTAGATATATATCTATATATGGCTACAGATGGTCGCACCAAAAATGTCAGTAATAAGATAAAGTCTATATAAAATTCATATAGTATGGTCAAACAGTTTTGGATAAAGAATGTTAACAATAATACAATTATTGAGTCTGCTTTTTCTAGTCATGAATTCTTTAAACACAGCCCAGAAAATATTGATGGCTTTTACCTGTAATATTATAAATTACCAGTAGTAGGTGGGAAGAGAAAAAATTATGAGAAAGGGTATTTCTTTATGATAGACGTATTTCATTTATGGCCCAAATAAACATCCATGGAGGTATTTTAACTCTTCCTGAGGTCACATCTCAGGACACAAAAAAGTACATGTTGAAACTGTATATGTATGTCTTAATATGAGAGAGTAACATGTTAAAAGCTCTCAGCTTGCTATTCTGCATCCTACCAAAAGTTCAGATACCTTCTTCCAGATAGGAAACAGTGGTTCTGTATCCAGTTCTTTTAAGAGTGCAGTGTGATTGTGATGATTTTTGTTGTAGGTTTAATTATCTGGTATATCACTACTGAAATTTTAAGAACTTGAATGCTTACTCTAATAATACCTCTGTTGCCTTTTAGGCCATAGTGTTTGTAGTTGGAGGAGGCAACTATATTGAATATCAAAATCTTATTGACTATATAAAGGTATGTGTACTTCTGTTGGTTGTAGTCCTTAACTTACTAACAGAAACCAGATAGAGCATGTTTTCTGGTATTTCTAAATATTTCTAAATATTTAGTATTTAGAAGACAAAGTCTATGAAATTAGCCTTAATATCCTGATTCTATACAGAGTCCAGGAAAAAAGGAATGTAAGAAATCAGTAGAAATTGTAGTTACTCATTCAGACCAACAAAGACTTACTGTTTCTGGTACTTTGCTCATGTTGCTCTGGAGTTGAGTAAATAAACTGCATTCTCTTTTATTTTGTGTTCATACACACCAACGTGGCTGAAAACTGTCAGCAGATGCAAACTGAATTAACCTGTTTTAGAGTCATGTTACTGATTTTCATGTGGCGGTGTTAAATAAAGCAGCTGTAGCTTATCATAACCTTAAAAGTAAGGAACTGCTGAGAATTCTTCAGTTTTCATAAATCTTGCAAAAGAGATGCCCCAGTGCCTTTTTGTATGCAGCTTTGCAATATGGAGTCAGTTCAAACTCAGACCTGCAGATAACATCATTTTATTGTACGACAATCTTACTTGAGCATCAAGTATGTTGTTTCAGAAACCAACAAAATGCAAATACTGTGCTATCTGTTAAAACAAATATCACATTGGCACCAATATCTAAGCATTTGTTACTTACCCTCAGAACTTTTCACTACTGAGTTAATAGAAGCTCATTCTTATTAAACTGCATCATTTAATTCTGTGTAGAAATCATACAAGGTGTCACATGCACAAGTAAGAAAATACGTAATCAACCATGTAATGCTGGTGTAACAGATTTTGTTTCTCTGGTTCCAACTGGCCAGACTAGTAGAATACATGTATACCAAAAATCAGTGGATGGAGAAAAATAACTAAACCATTACAGTTCCTGGAAGGCAGGAGTAGTATTCAAGCACTTTCCAGGAATTAAGAAAAATGCCAAAGTAACCTTAGTAAGATTCTGAAGAAGGTAATATATTTAACAAAAGCAGCACACCATTCTTTCTTCCTGATCTTAACTCTGTTCATGGTGCATTTGTCCTGCTCTATGGTAGATTGTGGCTTTTCACACATAAGAGTAGATATGGAGCATTAGTCATTGAAAAACAGTTACTCTACAAAGCATGTGAGAGTTTGATGTCCAGGTAAATTTTGAAGAATGCAAAGTCAGAGGGTTTCTCCTCTGACAGGCAGCCATTTTGAAACAGAGCTGGTCTGGATACAGGAAAGGATAGGAAGAGGAATGTAAATTAAAGAAATAAATTAGATTTAACTTATCACTCGTCACTATCCTTGGTAATGAATTCAGTGAGGCATCTGCCTGTGGCAGAGTGTATTGGCAAACATTTGGCTTGCTCCTTAGTCTACCCAAAGCCTCTTTAGCTACTATATTGAACCCAAAGATGTCCAAGAGGATGACTATTTGTTACTTCCTATTAAAAAAAAATCTTCTGAATCCCCTAGAGGTTAGTTTCCTTCCCTGATTGTAGCTGCATGCTGACAGAGCTGAGGTTTGCTGTGTATGTGTGTATAGAGGGCACTGGTGTAATGACAAATTAAACACTCAGCACTGCATACAAAGTGTCAGGAAGCTGAAGTTCAGAGGAGTAAGAGGGCAAACAGGAGGTCATTTGCCAAACAGAAGGAACTGAAAGCTATGGAAATGGTAACGTTAGATCTTACGGAGAGTCAGAAGTTGAACATACTCCTTCTGGAACCTGTGAACAGAGTTTTTTCATCACAGTTGTCACAGCTGAAGTGTGCTGTATGTTTCTCCACTCAGACTGTGTACTTGAGCAGTGGGAGATGACCTCCCAAGGGGGAAGATTTCCTCACCTTTATTCCACTTAGCCCTTTGCTCTTGAAAAAACAAGGAAAGTTAATGAAAACCTTTATTCTCTCTCCCACCACCTGGAAAACTGTGGGCCTCTCCCAGGTGACACGGTCTTATCCAACAAAATTTGCTTCTCCATGTGGTAGACTTCCAGCATCTATTGTTTCCACAGATGTAGCTTATTAATTATTCTCAAATTCAGTCTTCCTCCAGAATAAAAAAGAGAAAAATCAACAGCTCTGTTCTTGCAAGCAGATACCACAGAGATTTTATTCACAGCTTTATTTTTCTAAGCACTATCCATTTTGCCAGTTTGCTCCTGAAAGCACAGAGAAAGTATTTTAAAATTTTCTAAAACAGGAAGCAATGTTCATTCATCTTTGACATTCCGGGATTTTTTTTGTAGAAGAATTAAGAGAAACCTTCAAATCTAATTATTTGTAGCTCTGTGCTAGAATGGACTATCTCACAATGTCAAAAAGCAAATATTTATACTGTGATTGAGGTATATTGTGCCTTAAAATAAATGTATTGTCCAAGTTCAATTCAACATGCTGAAAATGTGTCATCAAAATTGCAAGCCATACGTGCAGAAGAATTTAGTAGATCGTATAATTTCCCTTTGCAGATGCTTAAAAAGTACTGCTTGTTAATCCTCTGCTACCCTGTTAAATAATTGATTTCCTACGGACTTTTCTTTTTTAGGGTAAACAAGGCAAACATGTCCTGTATGGCTGCAGTGAACTTTTTAATGCTACACAGTTTATAAAACAGGTAGGTAACTTATAACTCTACATCTCCATGGACTTTTATTGAAAAAAACCTCAATCTGTGAAAGTATAATGCATGTTACCAGTTTTTATTTGCTTGAAGTGGGGTTTTGAAGTCATTATTTTTAATTAGCTATTGAAGGCCTGTTATCAATGTAATGCAAGCAAACAAGTTTGTAATAATTGTTTTTACATTAATCCTACCTAAAAAAATTTAGTCAATTCTTGGAACTTTCACAAACAGCATCTCTTTCCAGGATTTTCTTGCAACTTTTTCAAGTTACAAGATGTTTAAACCTTTGTCCTGGTTTATAAATATCTACAGTATATAGATATAAATGTACTGGCCTGGTGGGAGCTTGATGTTCTTACCTATACTAAACTCTGTATTTTAGTGCTGTTAAAAACATCATTACTTCTCTAACCTCATTCCAATACAAATACAAATAAAAATTATTCATGGTGGTCAGCAAATAGCAGCCCTTCAGTAGCTGTCGCCAGCCATGGTTTTATGTCCTACTAAGATGAGAGTAAGTTGTTATTCAACACTACATTTTAAAGAACTAAATTAATTCTTGTTGCACTTCAAGGAAACAAATGGTACTTGCTGGCTTTTACTCCTCATTCAGCTTAAATAACAAATTTTCTTGTCTTGACTGTATACACTGTACCTTTACTTCATGAGATACGTTCATAAAAATTTGAAACTCAGGCCTTCTCCTCTGAGGTTATGAATTATTCTATCACCGGAAGATGTTTGGTTCTCAGCGACAAACAAAGCATATAAGACAGAAATATTTGCTGTATGAACTGGATATTGGTTTGACTGAAAGAATAAGATTAGCAATCTAATGACCTTTTTCTCTTCATGTTTAGCTGTCCCAACTTGGCCAGAAATAAGACTGAAACACCATTACCTGGATGGAAACGTGACAACAGACAATTGTTACAACATTCAGCTATCTTCATATCTTTAATTTTTCATTATATTAAAACTTAAACCCATTTCATTAATACAATAACTTTTTAAAAAATCTGTAATTAATACGGTGTATATCGGCATTTCAGAAATAAAACTTTAAACCTGCTTTGTTTTTGGTGGAGGTCAGTTTCACTATTACTGCATTTTTATTGCAGTACTAGCTATGGTATATGACAGAAATGGCTGAAAACTATGGCATTTTCAAGTTCTTATATGTAAGTTTCTGATATGGTAAGCAGGACAATAGCTCTAAGAAAAGGTCAAGTCTGTCTTCAGGAGTTATGTTCTTCTTAAAAGCCAGAGTATCTTTATTTAACAAAATTTAAAAGAGCAGAACTGCCTTTCAGGACCAGAGACAAAGAGCCTTAGTCTAAGAGAACTACTTCTAGTTCTTAACTCTTTTATTTTACCAAAGTCATATGATGTATGCAGTCTTGGCATTATGGTTGAAAAATGTACTAGAAGATACCTTCAGTAGAAGTTTCTGGTACAGTAATTTAGCTTTTCTCTTAAGGTTAAGAGAAAATTGCCTGCCAGCACAGTCAGTTTCAAACTGTAAAATTGAAATCTTTCATTTTCTTCTGCACTTTTTATTGTAACTTCTCTTTGACTGTTAGGTTTGGGAAGAACACAATTCATACTCACAAAACAGCTCTTAACTTGTATATGCACATATTTAAAATATTGTTTTTAACAATTCCATTAGGTAGGGGCAGTTTAGTAGTTTAAAGACTCCAGGAATGATAATTATGGAGAATGCATACAGGAACTCAGAGAACATAACAAATTCTTTTTTATAGTTGGAGGTCTCTGTCTTTAGAAACCTCTCTGGAAACAGCTACTGGTGAAGCAATAATATGACTTCAAAACAAGACCTAATACACTCAAAAAGTGAAAACATTTATTGTGGGTTTCTTAGCAAACTGTGAGAATTACTGGCTTACTGTAAATTTTTCAGTAGTGCTTTTTGCACTGTTTTTCAATGTTGAATGTTAGTTTTGCACTAAACACAATGCCCTTTCCCCAACTAGATTGTTTTTCAGAACATCTGTACAAGAAATGCAGTTGATCTATTCCTTAACAGTATCATAAGAATAATATGCGTAATCTAGACCATGTTATCAAAAGTAATAATGTTATTTGATTATCTAAGTGTTGTAATCTACTCCAGAATACTGATATAAATTTCTAATTTTGCCAAGTCAATAAATATATTTACTATGGTGTTCATTGTAGTTGTTGCATGTGAACACTGTCCCATATTTCAGTATGCAAGGACTCACTGTCAAATGCAGTTTGTTATTCTAATTCCATATATATATATATATATATATAATTATATTTGTTGGAAAAACAAGGCCAAAGTGTGTCAGGAAAAGAAAATTACATTTAAAGTGTTTATTGCTTCTTGTGGGAGTTCATTCCAGGCGCTTGAAATAATCCCTCCTCAACTGTGCTTCCTGTGCAAAGAGTTCTAACCTTGCAGCTGACAACCAGCTTATGAAAAATCTGCCACTTGGTTTTTGTCCAGATCTTGGCACTGCTCACTTGCATGAGAAGCACTCCTAAATCGCATCGTAGAGAATTTGCTTTTGCAGTAAACTTTATAAAGATGGAAGAATTTACTTTGGTGACTACATTCAAAAATCTGGTTTCTGTCTTTAGTGTCTCTGGATACAGGTTTAGTTCGTGCCCAGCTTTATAATTGGATCTTCAGGTCTGTTGTGTGAGCACGCCCTGGTCAGTTTGGGGTCCAGGTTTAAAAAAAAAAAATAAACAATTTTTGTCCTCCAAACATTCTTTTCCTTCATCTCCAAAATAGTTTTCTGGTTTAGTTGTAGTAGTAGTCCCGAAGCTCTCTATTAACCTTTAAATTGTGCATGTACTGCTCTGTCCCTGTAACAGTGTGCATACCTCATGCTTCTTCCTTGCTAGCAAAACCTGAATTAGGGTATGCAAGTTTTTGTTATATGGCCCTTTTTCCCAACTACCTTTGGATTTAGGAATGTGGAAGATTGTACAAGAAGCCTCTGGTTAATCTAGAGGCAAACAATGTTAAAAATAAGCTCTCTCTTTGGTAAGCTGCTTCAATCTATAGCTGTCACAGTGCCTCAAGGGTCCCTCAAAGTCCTGTGCTTAAAGGAGAGGTTATGCCTGGCTCAGTGACTCTTGTAAGCAAAATGGCAGCATTCATGTTGCTAATAAATATTTTAGGTGCTCATGGAAGGCCAGTGAGGTTTGGAACTTTTCTAGCCCCTTCTCTCCTGATAAAGCTCTGACAGGGCCAGCTGGTGAGGCAGCATCAACAGCAGCTCCAGCTTCCACATCTCAAGAGGAGTAATTCTTCATTGGTAGCTGCTTTCCCATTTAGGTAAGTAAAAACAGCACAATGATGAGTGTCAAGTGCTGTACCTGTTCTCAGGAAGAAAATTAGCAAATTAGCAGTCTGGTCTTCAGCTGTGGAAAATTCACAGTCGGTCTTTCAGGAACTATGGACAAATCTTACAAACAGTTGCACATACTTCAGAATACATGCACATTTTGAAATTATAGATCTTCGACTTGCTTTCCTGTTGTAATTTGAAGGTTTTAGACTTATTAGGCAGATATTTTGTGACTTAATAGTGAATTCAGTGAAAATTCTGTTTTTTCAGAATTAGACACTAAAAAAGTAAAATAAATTCATCAGAATAAAGGAAAGAAGCTTCTGGAGATCAGCACTTCATTTAAATGGCCTTATTTGTATGATACTCTCTGATGAAAATCAGATATAAACCTTTGTTATGCTAGAAGTAAGTTTTGCTATTGGTTGATGGTGTTCCTATCAATCTGACTGGAATGTAAAATAGTGGGTTTTTCCCAAAACCCATAGGTTCTACAGAGAACAGGAGCACTGCTATCAGTCACAGTTACAGAGCCAACCCACCTGTGCATGCACAGCTTCAGGACTAGAGCTGAACAAAGGGCAGCATTTCCCTTTTCACTTAAATAATATACTCCAAAATGGAATTGCTTAATGGTCACTTCAGTGTGTTGGCTAGATCAATCCTATGAGGTTTAGGAAGTAAAAGGTTTATAAGAGAGTACATGGGAACTGACTTCAAAACTACCACAACTGCATTCTTGAGATCTGAAATAAAAGGTGTTGGACTGGAACATCATGTCTCTTATTTACTGACAGTGGAGAGAGACACCCACTCCCTCTCTTAGTTTGGATCATTCATTAGTTGTAACTTGTTGCTAACAGATGGCTCTGGCTCAGAGAAAGCCAAGCCTGGCTAGTGTTCTAGTGGTACAGAAAAGTTAGCCACAGTGACAGTGAATTCTATATAGCTTCAGAAATCAGAGAAGATGTTAATATTTCTTACTGTGAATCAGTGGATTAATTGACCCACTTCTGTTTTATTTGGAAGTGGCTTAATAACCCTATTCTGTGCAGCAGTTGAAATTGTTTTCAGCAACATTCAGTTATATTCTGCTCCTTAATATGGTCACATACCATCCTTCAACAGCATTCAAAACCTGCATATTGATCTCAATGCATCTATTTTTTTTTTCCCTACAATAATAAACCATTAGTAGTTTAACTGCCACTGGAATTTTAGATCTAATGATAAACTTTGTATCTCTACCTGCTTGTGTCTTTTCCCTTATATAAACAAAGCAGGACTAAATTTCATATTCCTAAAATGTTAAGTTATTCCAGCTCCTTCTCATAATTGCAAAGGTTGACTTGCTTGATTTGGTAATGGAAGAGTGATCTTTATCCTGTGAAAACAGATTCAAATGCTGAAAAGCCTCAGAACTATCCATTCCAGGTCCTATTTCAGTCTCCCCATCTTATGTGTGCATTCCTATTTCTAGCAGTACAAAAAGGCTAAATCAAAGCCATACTGCTTTTAGAGAAAATTGATTTTAGCACATCAGCATAGACAGGTAATACAACTCATTTACTACTCTGAAGTCTTACTTGTATTATGCAGGTAGCACAAAAATCAATGGATGAAAATTAAATCCAAGAAGGGGTATGTAGCTTTCCTTAACAATAATTGGTATGGAATCTTTCAGTAATTTCTGATAGGAACACAGTTGTCATACTGTTTCCTACAGCTAAAACCATTCCCCCCACCTTTTTCTCTTTCCCAAAAAAAAGTTATCTTCTCGGTACATATAGACTTTCCAAGGCTTTCAAATCATACTGAAAATACCATTTTAACAAATAGTAGGATTATTCCTATTTCATTTGGCAGAGTAAAATTACACAGATCAGGTCAAATCGTTTTTTGTGTGCTAGACTTAATTGAACTATTTCATTTACTCCCTGAAGTGACCTAGGACCTTTGTCCTACAATTCAGCTACAATGGCAAAGCTTCCCGGGCTCTTCCTGCATCTCTAAACCAGGGGAATAATTGTAATATGTTGTGTAAGTTGCCAAATCACAATGGGAACTGAATAAACTTCAGATTGAATGAAATAAAAATAAATAAACTGAAATGTTTGTTACATTAAATCTGATATATGTTCTCTAGAGACTTCTTAAACCATAAATCAGCACATATATATTTTATCTGTTTTAAGTGCAAATATCTGTTTGTACACTTTTTATGTACCACAATATGTATAATATGAAATAGATTGAATAAGGTCAACATTTTCTTCCATCTACAAATCCCTTGGGATCAGTGTATTCCTACTTGGTTTGTTCATTCTTTTAATGCAGCATGTTCTCTGTGTCCATAAGAAAGACTCTCAGATCAGGTCACAAAACCAAAAAAAAATGAGGGAGAGATGATGGATTATGACACAAAATGTTTCACAGGCAAGCATACTATTTTTATGTAGAGCTTGTGTAATAGTATTATAGCTAATTGTATTGCCAGTTTTGCTAGCATTGAAATAAACCCTCTCTTTTTATATGTCAAAGAAGTGAAGCAAAGCTGGTGCCATTTTTTGTTTAGATTCCCTTACCCGTATGTTCCAGTAATCTTGGAGGATGTCTTTTGCCACATTTTCCTGGGACTGTTGACAGCTAAACTGCTGAGCTCCAGCTGGGATGTAAATTTGCCCTTGAACTAGAACATGAGTCCATTCCCATAGATAACT